CAAGGTGATATGAATGAGGGGTTTCATTTGCTCTATTTTTGCATTTTGCAATTTGCCATGCTTTAAAACTGAAATAGGCCAGGCATATGGTTTAGTATAGAGAGCATGCCTGACATGTGTGAAGCCTTGGGTTCAGTTCCTGGAGGAAAAAGAAAAAAAAAATCTCTGTTTCAGGTACTGGACATGAGACGTGAACAAAGCAGGAGCTTAAATCCAGGAGCTTAAATACAGGAGCTCAAATACAGGAGCTCAAGCCCTTGCATTCAGGAGCTTACATTCTGCTGGGACAAGGCATATTTATGGAGGCCTAACCAAATGCTACTCACTGTCGAAAACGTGGACGGTTTTTTATTGTTGGTTTTTTGTTTGGGGACCACACCCTGCATTATTCAATCCTTGCTTGAGTTGATGTTCGGGGTTCACTCCTGGCTGTGCTAGGAGGGCCTTGGGGTATCAGGCCTCTTGCTCAGATGCTTCTGCTGACTGGGCTTTCTCTGCAGGCCGGAGGATTTTTGGTTTATTGCATGATTTCCTCACTTGCCCTATTTCTTCTCACATGTTTCAATGTGTAGTTTCTGTAATCTTTTAACCTTTGTTTGTGTTTTGGGGCAGTGCTCGGGGCTTACTCCTGGCTCTGTGCTCAGGGGTCATGTCTGGTGGGCTCTGGGAATCATATGGGTATCAGGGATTGCACCTGGGTTAGTTGCATACGAGGCAAGTGCCCTACCCACTGTAGTGTTGCTCCGGCCCCTTCCCCAGTGCTCTCATGAAGGTGGCTCAGTGCTGGTTGAGTGCTAAGGGGATGCCTGTGGGCTCAGATGCAGCCGGGTGTGGGCACTGCCCTGAGTGAGCCACGCCAGTGTCAGAGCCAGGAGCTTCACCCAGCCTCACCAGACAGCATCTCCATGTTACTTCCCGTTCTTTTCTTAGGTTCATAGAATATTTATTGTCTTGCTTCCTGCTTTTAACTATATATATATATATATATATATATATATATATATATATATATATTTTCCCCTCTCTTTTTAAAGGTTGTCCTATGAACAATATTTATATTTCCTCTTCCTGGTCTTAGCTATTTATAATTTGTTTTTCCTTTTGTCCTCGTTAAGTAATAGCTATTATTCTGTGCCCTGCTTTCAGCTCTTTCTAATTTCTCTTTCTCTTTTGAAAGTTTTCTCTGGAGGGTGGGGGGAGTTTGCCTAGATATGGCATGAATTAGCCTGTTATTAGAGAGAATTGACAAAAACAATTACAGGGGTTTTTGTATTTCTCTCAGTCATATTCCCTTATAAGAGAGAAGAGTTTTTTGGTGTGGGGGGAACACCCCTGGATGTTCAGTGTTCAGGGATCACTCCTGGCACTGTTCTGATTTATGTGTTGCTAGGGTTTGAACCTGGGTCTCCCACATGCAGACACACTTGTCTTATGCCCTGTGCTTTTTATTATTTATTATTATTATTTTGCTTTTTGGGTCACACCTGGTGATGCTCAGGGATTACTCCTGTCTCTGCACTCAGGAATTACTCCTGGCGGTGTTCGGGGGACTGTATGGGATTCTGGGTATTGAATGCAGGTCGGCTGCGTGCAAGGCAAATGCCCTACCACTGGGCTATTGCTCCGGCCCGCCCTGTGCTTTTTAAAAAGACTGGTTTGATTTTGTTTTTAAATGTTCATAAATATATACATTTGATTATTGGATTTTTTAATTTTTTGTTTTTATTATCATTATTTTGATTAATTGGGGGGGCACACCAGATGGTGCCGGGAGGGTTACTCCTCGTTAGGTACTTGCTCCCGATAGTGTTCAGTGGGGCTTCCCGTGTGCATAGTATGTGCTCCCATCTTTTAAGCCAATTTCCTGAACCCCCCCATGATTGGTGCTTGATAGAGGCTAAGATTAGAAATAAGAGCGTTCTTTGGATTCTACCCATCCTAGTCTGAATCCCCAGCACCACATAGTCTCTAAGCATCACTGGGGTCACCTGAACTCAGAGTCAGAAATAACTCCTGAACACCTGCGAGTATGGTTTAATCCCATTAAAAAAGTTAGAATAGAAATACTCAGTGTAAGGATTAGAAATACTGGGGTTGGATAATACAAAGTTAAGGCATGGATTGAGTCAGTAGGAAAGCTACTTGCCTTGCACTTGGCTGATCCGAGTTCCATCCCTGCTCTGTATCTGGTTCTCCAAGCCCTGGCAGGAGTGATCCTTGAGCACAGAGCCAGGTATAAGCCCTGAGCACAGCTGGTGTGGCCCCAAACTTCCCACCATCCTCCCCGACAAGGTGGAGGCATCTGTCTAACAGGCAGCTGCTGCTGTGACTCGGGTTCGAAATCTGCCATCACATATGGTCTCTGGAGCATCACCAGGTGTGTGTTGTCCCCTCCCCCCCCCCACCAAATCCAAACAAGGATCAGAAATATTCAGTGGTGCATTTGTATTAGAATTGTTAGCTAAGCCAAGGAGAGATCACAGTAGAACCCACTGGCACCTTGATCTTCAATTCAGCTTCCAGAACTGAGAAATTTTGGTTGTTGAAGCCCCTCCCCTCCCCCCCCCTCCCCCTCATCCCAGCTTTTGATGATTCTGGCAGTTTGCTAAAGTTAGCCTGACACCACCAGGAGTGCGCTGCTCTCATAAATACAAATGTGGGAGTGACTTCAGGCCTGTGACTCCAGAGGGTGAAAGTTTGGGGGTATACACTGGAGTAGGCCTAGATTGCCTGGCAGACTTGGCAGAAGCATGGATGTTAAATTTTGACTACACCCAGAATTACTCGGGACGTATTCCTGACTGTACTCAGGGATCACCCCTGGTGGACTCAGAGTACTGCATGGGGTGCTGAGTATCGAACCTGGGCTGGGAGTGTACAATGCAAGCACTCTACCCACTGTTTTTTTTTCTCTGATCTGTTTTTTGAGTTTTTTTTCCTATGGGGAGGGCATGCTTCATTGATTTGGTACCTGTGTACAGGACCCCAGGACTGAACTGAATTATGTTGCTACTGTTTTTCAGATTGAATCGCTGTAACAAGTGGTTATGAAATTTTTTTTCAAGACCTTTTCGGGAGGGATGTGATGGTACTAGGGACTGAATTGAATTTTTTTTTGTTTTTTTTTGGGGGGGGGCGCACCAGATAGTGCTAGGGGGAGGTTACTCCTGGTTATGTACTGTATTGCTCAGGTGGGGCTTCCTGCATCAAGGCATGTACTTTACCCCTAGCCACATTGCTTACCCCTAAGATTTTTTTGTTATGCGATATGCCCTTTTTTCTCACACAAACTCCTCAGCTCTAATAACTCTTATTAATGAATGAATATGCAAACTAACAAACAAACACTGTCCTCCTGTTGTTCATTGATTTGCTCCAGAAACCTCTCCATTATTTTTTTTTTGAGACTTGTTGTTTGGCATATTGAACACGCCACGGGTAGCTCGCCAGGCTTTGCCGCGCGGGCGAGATACTCTCAGTAGTTTGCCGGGCTGAGAGGGGCGGAGGAATTGAACCCGGCTCAGCCAGGCTGGCTGCGCGCAAGGCAAACGCCCTACCACTGTACTATCGCTCCAGCCCAGTGAATGAATAGAATTAATATTTATTGAATAGAGGCTTTATTTAGAATACATTGTAGCCCACACAAAACACTATGAGGTAGGTATAATTATTACTGTTTACAAATAAACTGAGGGACAAAAAGTGTATAATTTTTCCCAATGCTGTTCAGTCAATAATGAATGGACTAAGAGAATGTTAAGTAAGCTGTATGCCATGGAGAAAAGCACAGTTATAATTGTTTTCTTGTAGGGACTGGGGAGATAGTATAGTGGGCAGGATATTTGCTCGCACACAGCCAACCTGGGTTTGATCCCTGATATTCTCTATGGCCTCCCTAAGCACCACCAGGAGTGATCCTTGAACACAGACCAGGAGAAAGCCCTGAGCACTACTGGGTGTCACATGTCCCCCCTTCCCCCCCGCAAAAAAATTGTTTTTTGTTACTCCTGGTGGTGCTAGGAGGACCATGTGGTTCAGGGATTACACCTGGGGCTCCGGCCTGAGCTATCTCCAACTTTTAACAAGTCACGTTTCTGTTGGAAATTCTGAGAAACTTAACAAGTTTGAGTGATAACAGATTTTTCTATATTCACATTAATAGTGTCACAATGGAGACATTACTGGGCTCACTTGAGCAAATCAATGAACAACAGGAGGACAGTGACAGTGACACAATAATATGGGGGGGCTCTTAAGCAGTGCTGAGGGGGCCTGAAGGCTGTTCCCAGCGATAGTCTGGGTGTGCAGACCTCATGGTTCAGACCTTGGGCTTGTCACACCAAGTGGAGTTGGGGATCACTGGGGTGATACCCATTATTCATTTGTGCTTATGGGCCATGAGGTTCTGGGGAGATAACTTGGGGCCTCATGCATGTAAAGCATGTACTCTAGTCTGCTGAGCTATCTCCCAGCTCCTATATTACCTACCCCCCACCCCCAGTCTAAGTTATCTAATGCTTAGTAAACAGTGAATATGAGACAAAATGATTAAAAAAAATGCGCCAGGCTATGGGTGGGCGAGAACCCTCCCCACCCCAAAGGACCCAGCCCCGGCAGCCAACCTCCACTGCCCAACCACCGCCATGCTCCAGGCTGCTTTGTTTTTGCGCGACACATTATAAGACACCTCCTACCCATTTGTTTCTCTCGGAGAGCCCAGCAAGCTACCCAGAGTATCCTGCCCACAGGGGCAGAGCCTGGCAAGCTCCCAGTGGCGTATTCTATATGCCAAATACAGTAACGACAATAGGTCTCATTCCCCTGAACCTGGAAGAGCCTCCAATCACTGGGAAAAGATGAGTAAGTAGAGGCTGCTAAAATCTCAGGGCTGGGAGGAATTGAGATGTTACTGGTGCCTGCTCAAGTTGATCGAAGATCAACAGGATGGCAGTGATACAGTGATGAGACAAAATGAAATTTCAATATTTATTGAATTTTCTTCTGGCATGAATTATCTGAATTTTCATAATGGAAGTGACAAATGAAAGCTCTCTGACATGAAGTACCTTATATTAGATATGACGGAATTGTGAGTCAGGAGTGAACTCTGCATCAAGGTTTTCTACGAAGGATTTCTAACTGGTATGGAGTCTGTAGTGTTCAATGAGCTGTGAGCCAAGAATAAAGTCCTTCCCACATTCTTTGCATTCATAAGGTTTGATACCAGGATGAATTCTCTGATGTTCAGTAAGTTGTGAACTACGAATAAAGGCCATTCCACACTCCCGGCACTGATAGGGTTTCTCACAGGTATGGATTCGCTGATGATGAGTCAGCTGGGAAACACGAATGAAGGCCTTCCCACATTCCTTACATTCATAGGGCTTGTCACCCGTATGAATTCTTTGATGTTGAATGAGGTACGAGCTACGACTAAAGGCTTTCCCACAGTCCTTACATGCATAGGGTCTGTCACCAGTGTGAACTCTTTGATGGCGAGTAAGCTGTGCATGCTGTCGAAAGGCCTTCCCACATTCCTTACATTCATAGGGCTTCTCCCCCGAATGAATTCTTTGATGCCGAGTCACTTCTGAGCTATGAATAAAGCCCTTCCCACACTCCTTACATTCGTAGGGTTTCTCGCCAGTATGAATTCTTTGATGGACGGTGAGCTGTGAATGCTGTCTAAAGGCTTTCCCACATTCTTTACACTGGTAGGGTCTGGCGCCTGTATGAATTCTGCGATGAACAGTTAGTTGTGAGCCACGAATAAAAGCCTTCCCACAGTCTTTACATACATAGGGTTTCTCCCCGGTATGAGTTCTTTGGTGCAGAATGAGCTGGGAATGCTGTCTGAAAGTCTTCCCGCATTCCTTACATTCATAGGGCTTGACACCGGTATGGAGTCTGTGATGTAGAATAAGTTCCGAAGTGCGCCCAAAAGCCTTCCCACAGTCCTTACAGTCATAGGGTTTCTCCCCGGTGTGAATTCTCTGATGCTGAACAAGGTGTGAGGCCCGGCTGAAGGCCTTCCCACATTCTTTACATTCAAAGGGCTTTTCACCAGTGTGAGTTTTCTGATGTTGAATAAGGTGTGAACCACGGCTAAATAGTCTCCCACATTCACTACACTTGATCCGTTTCTCACCAGTCAAATTCCTCTGGCGTAGGGTGATCAGGGATGTGTGACGCTCGCTCACAGGTTTGCTGTCATAGGGGGTTTTTATTTGCTTAAAATAGCAGTCTGGGTTTGCCTGTCTCGAAATCTGGCCTTTATATCCCCAGTCATGCCTAAAACTGGAGCCCTCCAAATCACAGCACAAAAAGCGTTCTGTTATCTCCCAACTGAATGGCTGTGCTTTAAAATTTTCTTTTGGTGAAAATTTCTCACATCTAGACTCCAAATCTGGGGAAAAACAAAACAACAAACGAAGTAAATGCAAGGTATTTTTCTCTTGTCTGAATGTATAGTAAGGTCTGGATAGTACTGTGGGCAGTGTGCTTGCTTTGTATGTGACCCAAGTTTGATCCCCAGCACCCTATAGAGTTTCCCAAGCACTACAAGGAATGATCTCTGAGCACAGAGCCAAGTGTGATCTTAAAAAAAAAGTGTGTATGTGTGTATATATGTATGTAGATATGTATATATACTTATAGAGACGAGGTTAGATTAGTAGACTAGCAAGGCAAAATGAAATAACCATAGTGAAAATATGAGATGCATCAACTGTTGCTGTGAAATCTCAAACAGCATATGAAAGCACGAAAGTGATGAGAGCTCAAATGGTGTGAGGATGGAGCAAGAAACATGTCCAGTTTTCAATTTGATAGAGATCTGAATAAGCGAGGAAGCCTGTTACTAATAACAGAATATTAACAAAAATGTACAAGTACTGGACCAGAGGTTCTCAAACTTTTTTTTGGGGGGCGGGGGCATATTCAGCTGTGCTTAAGGATTACACCCAACTTTACATTCAGGAATCACTCTTGGTGAGGCTTGGGACCATATGGGGTGTCAGGGATCACACCCACATTATCTGCATGCCTTCCATCCCCTCTGTACTACCTCTCCAGCCCAGAGGCAGCTTAAATTTTTAGGGGTGGGATTGGGCTCGGTGCTGGGGTTATTCCTGGTGGTGGCACAGCCTTTCTGGATAAGAAAGAAGAAAGGGGGGCTGGCATGATAGCACAGTGGGTAGGGCGTTAGCCTTACACATGCCCGACCCGGGTTTGATTCCCAGCATCCCGTATGGTCCCCAGAGCATCACCAGGAGTAATTTCTGAGTGCAGAGCCAGGAGTAACCCCTGAGTATCGCCAGGTGTGACCCAAAAAGAAAAAAAAAAAGAAGAAAGGAATTGCTGTGGGTGAAGAAAAGGTTCCCTTGGGGACCGATTCTGATATTGTTTTTCATGCCTTCAGGCCTTTATTCCATAGTCTTTCATAAGGCTCTGAGGAGAACTTCCCAACAAGAACTCAAATTATTGCTATCAGAACCACCCTCCCACTGCATTTCCCCCACTGAACCATGCCCAGCTCACCTGGGCACCAGGACGCTGGTGTATTATTTGCAGTCATCCAGGGTTCTCTCCCTTGCTCTAATAAGGAGATGACATCAGGCTTAGGAATGGAAAGACCTGTTAATGGGGGGAAACAGGGTATGATCACACTGTTCCTAGAGAGGGGGAGAGAGCGGGAGGAGGGAAGAGGGAGAGGGAAGGAGGAAAGGGAAGGAGGAGGGAGAGAGGGAGAAGGTAGTTTCCACCCTTTTGATCAGAGGTGGGGACAGTGCCCAACCATTGCTTCCTGCCTGGCCCTGACTGTACAGTGGTCTTACCCAATGAGACCAAGTTCTTGAAGTTTTCCAAAGTCACATCCTTATACAAGTCCCTCTGGGCTGGTTTCAGGCACTTCCATTCTTCCTGAGAGAACTCCACCACCACATCCCTGAATGTCACCAACCCCTGAAATAAGCCTCTCATTACAAGCATATTCAAGGATTTATTTTGTTTTTATCCCATTTATTACAGAAAATTTCAAAATAACAAAATTTCAATAACTAATAAGTAATAGAAAAAATATAATGACTTCGTAAGGCTCTAGAAACCATATGGGGTGCCAGGGATAGAACCAGATTGGCTTGTACGCAAGGCAAGGCCTTACTCGCTGCTCTATGTAACCAGGTGATAATTGTGTTTTTGTTTTATGGTGGGGTTATTCCTGGCTCTGCACTCAGGAATTACTTCTGGTGGGGCTTAGGAGACCACATGGGGTGCCGGTGATTGAATGGTGGTTGGCTACATCAAGGCAAGCACCCTACCCGTTGTACTCTTTTCTCCAGCACCAAGGTGTTTTGTTGTTTTTTGAAAGCATAGTAACCAGGTTAATACTTCGTAAAATTATTTCCTGTTTACCAGATTGTTTCAGATTGCCCAAATTTGACAGAAAGTTTTGTTTTTTGGCCACACCTGACAATGCTCAGGGGTTATATCTGGCTCTGCACTCAGGAATCACTCTTGGCAGTGCTCATGGTACCCTGGGGTGCTAGGGATCGAACCTGGGTCAGTGGCATGCAAGGCAAGTTATCCTATCTGCTGTACTATTACTCTGGCCCTGACAGAAGTGATTTTTAAAAAGTTCTTGGAATATACCCAGAGATGCTCAGGGCTGACTCCTGGCTCTGTGTTCAGGGATCACTCCTTGTGGTGCACGTGGGCCATATAAGGTGCTGGGAATTGAACCCATATCAACTATTATCTCTCTTTTTAATTTTTAATTTTTTAATGAATCACTGTGGGGTACAGTTACAGACTTACAAATTTTCATGCTTACATTTCAGTCATACAATGATCAAGTGCCCATCTCTCCCCCAGTGCCCATTCTCCACCACCAATGTTCCCAGTATCCCTCCCATCTCCCCTTGCTGTACTATCTCTTAACAGCTTCCACAAACTCTTAAAAAAAATTGAGTGTCTAAAGACTGCCATATGAAACTTTCAAAACAATTTGAACAAAAGAACAAAAAGATGAGTTCATCAAAATCAAAAACATGTGTAGATGAATCTATCAAGAAAGTAGAAAATCTCGATTTGGATAGCACTGGGGCTAAATCACCTCCTTTGCACATGGTGGCTGACCCAGATTCAATGCCTGGTACCACATAGAGTCCCCCCAAACCCACTAGAAAGTGACCCCTGAGTCCAGAGCCAGAAGTAGTCCCTGAGCACTGATGGGTGTGGTTCCAACTCAACCCCCCCAAAAAAACAAAACAAGAACCAGAAAGAGAAAATTCAACCCACGTGGAGAAAAGAATACTTATATTTGATAACGCACCAAACAAACAACATATGTAGAATTTCTTTTGTGTGTGGTGTCTGCCACACCCAGTTCTCATATATAAGTACTCTATCAATGAGCTACATTCTTAGCCTTAGAACATATCATAATTATTACAACTCAGAAATAAAAATTAATTTATCTGGGGCTGGAGCATGGGCTGGAGCGACAGCACAGCAGTAGGGCGTTTGCCTTGCACGCAGCCAACATGGCTGACCCAAGTTCGATTCCTCTGCCCCTCTTGGAGAGCCTGGCAAGCTACCGAGAGTATCTCGCCCACACGGCAAAGCCTGGCAAGCTACCCGTGATGTATTTGATATGCCAAACACAGTAACAACAAAGTCTCCAATGGAGACGTTACTGGGCCCGCTCGAGCAACTCGAAGAATAACGGGAGGACAGTGTTTTGTTTGGACAGGGGCTGGAGCAATAGCACAGCGGGTAGGGCGTTTGTCTTGCATGCAGCCAACCTGGGTTCAATTCCCAGCATCCCATACGGTCCCCCAGCACTGCCAGGAGCAATTCCTGAGTACAGAGCCAGGAGTAACCCCTGAGCATTGCTGGGTGTGACCCAAAACGCTCGCGCAAAAAAAGAAAAAAATTATCTATCTATAATTAAAAACTTGGCATGGAATTTGAATTGATTTTCCCTAAAAAGATAAATGAATGGGCTTGCGTATGAAAAAAACACTGAAATCACTAATCATTAGGAAAATGCAGATCACAAGTGCAACAGGATTCACATCCATTATATATAAACACATTTGATGTGTAGTAGGGGAGATGGTTTCAAGGGCTGGAGTGCACAGTGTGCATGTGGGAGCCCCGGGTTCGATCCCTGGTACCACTTGGTCCCCTGAACACTATCTGGAGCAGCCCCCAAGCAATGTTCAGTGTGGCCCCAAAACAACAGAAAAAATGAAAAAATTACTGCAGATTTCAGCTTTTGTTTTCTGTTTTGGGGCCACACCTAGTGAGCGATGCTTAGGGATTACTCCTGGCTCTGATCATGCCAATTATACCTATCAAAAATTACTACATTTGAAATTAAAAGTGAGAAATTGGGGCCGGAGAGATAGCAGAGCAGGTAGGGCATTTGACTTGCACGCAGCTGACCCAGGTTTGATTCCCAGCATCCCATATGGTCCACTGAGCACCGCCAGGAGTAACCCCTGTGTATCACCAGGTGTGACCCAAAAAGAAAAAAAAAGTGAGAAATTTAGGGCCAAGGAAATAGCTCAAAGGGTTAGAGCACAAGCCTAATGTGCTCGAGGGCCTGAGTTCTATCCCTGATGCTGCATGGCCTTCCAGCACTGCTGGGCCTGAGCAGCACATTCCCAGGCCCAAGCACTGAACTGTCAGGTCTAATTTTGCTGGGAGTGGTCCTCAGGATCCCTGAGCATTAGTCAAGAGAATGCTCACCCACCCCATTACCAAAAATGAGACATTTAAAGAGTGCTGATTAGGGGCTGGAGCGATAGCACAGTGGGTAGGGTGTTTGCCTTGCACGCAGCCAACATGGCTGACCCGGGTTCGATTCCCAGCATCCCATATGGTCCCCCGAGCACCGCCAGGAGTAATTCCTGTGTGCATGAGTCAGGAATAACCCCTGAGCATCGCCGGGTGTGACCCAAAAAGCAAAAAAAAAAAAAAAAAAAAAAAACCCAAACCTGATTATTTATTTATTTATTTCCTTTTGGGTCACACCCAGCGATGCTCAGGGATTTACTCCTGGCTTTGCACTCAGAAATCATTACTGGTGGTGCTTGGGGGACCATATGGGATGCTGGAAATCGAACCTGGGTTGGCCGTGTGGAAGGCAAACGCCCTACTGGCTGTGCTATTGCTCCAGCCCCATCTTTTTACTTTTTTTGGTTTTGGTTCAGGGACCACTCCTGACGGGCTTGGGTCTTCAGTGTAGGCAAGTACTCTGCCGTCTGTATTATCTCTCCAGCCTCTCCACCAGTCCCCTGTTAAGAGCACTACACTCAGGTGAGCATATGGGGATGACCTGCCACCAAGGCAGTGGGGCTAGGGTAAAGGAGCAGGTCACTGATTAAGATGGTAAAATTCAGAGGCCAAGTGCTGGGCTGGAGACAGCTCAATGGACCAAGCATGGGCTTTGCATGTAAGAGTTTGCATTTGATCCTCAGCACTGCATGGTCCTTGAGCAGTGAGCCAGGAGTAGCCCCTGGGAACCACTGAGAATGGCCTAGAAACAAGAAGAAAGTGGGGGGACATATGATCTGGAGGGAAGACATTATTTCTTCATCAAGGATAGCTGCAATTCCTGGGTCTGGAGAGAGTACAGTGGGTTAGGTGCTTGTTTGCCTTGCATATGCTTAACCCAGGTTTGATCCCTGTTGACATCCTATATGGGCTTGTGTTTGAGGACCACGGGATAATTTCTGAATGTAGAGTCAGGAGTGATCCCTGAGTATGAACGGGAATGACCCAAAAACTTTTAAAAAGGGGATTTAGAAAAAACTTCAGCTTACCTGGGCCATGGCTTTAAAAACTACAAGTTGCTCTGGTTGCTCTAGATTCTTCTCATAGACAATGCAGAGTTCTAGAATGTCAGAGTAGGGGAGAAGGGGCAAATTTCTTATAACCCAAACTTGACTTAGCATCCTTTTATTTATTTATTTTTGCTTTTTTGGGTCACACCTGGCGATGCACAGGGGCTAACTCCTGGCTCTGCACTCAGGAATTACTCCTGATGATGCTCAGGGGACCATGTAAAATGCTGGGAATCGAACCTGGGTCAGCCATGTGCAAGGCAAATGCCCTACCTGCTGTACTATCGCTCTAGCCCAGATTTAGCACCCTTTATTTTTTATTATTATTTTTCTAATAGATTTTATTTGGAGGATTTTTAAGGTGTGTGTGTGTGTGTGGGGAGAGAGAGAGAGAGAGAGAGAGAGAGAGAGAGAGAGAGAGAGTGTAATGTACTCAAGAGAGAACACAGGCTTCTCCAAGGACGGAGAGAGAGCCCCTACACACATCCTAGCATTAGATACAAAAGCATGAAAGTACACATCTCAAGAGGGGAGATGTGGGCGACACATGTGCTCAGCCCACATGTGCTCAGCTACGTGGGCACAAGCAGCACATGAGCTCAGGCAGCATATGCGCCACAATTTAGCACCCTTTAAATAGATGCTTAAAACAATTCTTTAAAAGGACTTTAGAGAAAGACCATGGGTTCTAGAGCCTGAGAATCTGTGACAGAGGTTTTATGAAGGCCCCCATGAATACACCAGACAGGAGCTTTTTGGGCTCCAGCGAGAAGGTGATAGATTTGACGGCCCATATAGCTACCAAGGATTAAAGAGGACTGGGGTCAGTTCTCCAGTGAGAGCAAGAGGAGGAAAGAGGTCCTCAAGTGCTGGGGAGTCCTCCCCCTACACCCGAACATAAAGAGCCTCCTGACCTCAAGTTTCCATCCCAGACTCCTGAAGCGGGGAAGGAGTTTAGGATGCCCTACCTTTGTGAACCATCGATAAAATAAATTGTACTCTTTGCCCCCCTCCCCCAAAAGTGATAAAATGTGAACTGGCCATTGAATTTTATTGGTTTTGACATTATTTTGTCATGGTGGTGGGTTTTGGGTCACACCCAGTGGTGCTCAGGGTTTCCTCCTGGTTCTGCATTCAGGGACCATTCCTGATATGCTTGGGAGATAATATGTGGTGCTGGGAATTGAACTTGGTTGGCTATGTGCAAGCCAAGGGCCGTACACTCTATACTATTGCTCAGGCCCGAGCAATATTGACATTGAGGATCTGACATTATTGAATTCCTTAGAATTCTTGACAAGTGACTGCTTGTCTAGACTATGAAAGCTTTGGCTGCAGTGGATTTGAGAGAATGGAGGAAAAGGATCAATCATAAAGTTTAAAAAGTGCTGTAGAAAAGTGAAACAGCTGGAGATGGAGCACTAGAGGAGAAAAAGGATGGGGCCCAGGTAAAGTTAGTAGTTTGTTTTGAATGTAGGAAAAAAACATAGCATGCCTTCTTTTTTTTTGGGGGGGGGGTTGATGAAGAGGTTGGAACATACATAATGGTCTCAAGGGCTATACCTGTCTCAGTGCTTAGGGGTCACTCCTGGTACTACCCAGGGATCAAACCCATCTCCTGCATGTGAAGCATGTGTTCAATCCTTTGAGTTATCTCTCCCTATATTGCATGTTTTGGGAGTGATGGCAATAATCTGGTCGAATAACATTTGTAAGGCAGGGACATATATGACAACTGCTGGAATAATGATGGAGGGAAGGAGATGGGAATAGCAACCAAGTGTTAAGGGCATCTCCTCCCTAAAGTAAATAGGTAAAGGAATGACCCCCAGGTTTCTAGAATGAGGAGATGTGGAGCTATTCACGTGCACATCATTTAAGTTAGTTTTTGTGATTACCCTGTGGGTGAAATAGAGTTGATATTATTCCCTATATTCTATAAAAGAGAAGCCTAAGAAGGTGTGAGATTCACTCAAAATCAGACAATAATGTCAAAGCTGGAATAAAAATGGAAGGGCTTCATTTCGTTGCCAGTGAAAATTTTCACTAAAATAAACTGTATTCCTGTGGTTACTGACATTAATCAGAGTCTGAACAATAAATTCCTTGGTGGGGGGGGCAACAGAATTAGGGACAGAAAAGGAAACTTGAAAATAATGGCTGGTCCTCTTCAAAAGTGTCAAGGACAAAAAAAGAGCAAGACTGAGGAACTATGCATGATAAGTTTGCAGAAACTTATCAACTCATTGCAACATATGACTCTGGACTGGACCCGTGTCCAGAAAAAAGGGACACTAAAGGAGATAGTTAAAATATTTTAAGTGGATCACATTGGTAGTATAGCTGGTTGCCTTACACAAGGCTGACCCAGGTTCCATCCCCAGCATTCCCGTATGGTTTCCAGAGCACCTCCAGGAGTAAATCACTGTGACTCAAAAACAAATACATGTACGAAAAAGTTTTATAGATTAGTTATTATTAGTGTATCTGTTAATCTGGTTTTGAACAGTACTGTTAGGATGCTAAAACACGGTCAGTCGGGTTGAGGGCAATGGGAATTCTCTACTTGCAGTATGTTAAAGCTTAAAACTAACTGAAAAACATTTAAAAAGTTTTCAGTGAATGCAGGGACTAGGGATCATGTATGGACTTCTCAACTCACTTCCATACACCCGCCTTACATACAAGCAGAGGAAACCGCACCTCCACCCGCAGCAGTCACACAGTCACGGCTGGCGCCCCGGCCCCCAACGGTCACCGGGATTCCCCACCCAAACACAGTCATCACAACACACCGTTACACCAACACCAGCAGACACCGGACGGTCAGAACCGCCCCCCTCACCCGCACCTCCACCGCCAACCACCGAACGGTCGGAAACGTGGCTTCTCGGCGCCGAGGCTCTGGACACGCCCCGTCCCCGCCCCGGACTCCACAGACCCCCCCTCACCTCCGGCCTCCGCTTGGTCGCGTCCGGGTCCGCGCGCGAACGGTCTCGCCACGACATCGAGACGTAACGTCGGGCCGCAGTGAACTCTGGGAAGCGTAGTCCGGAGCCCGAGCCGCCCCGGACAAGATGGCGCCCTAGCACCGCGGCGTTGGGGCTGGGCCCGTTGGAAGCTGCTCCCGGGAGGCCTCCTAGGGAGAATCCGCTCTCCAGAACGGTCCCCAAGCTTGAACGACCTTCTCCCAAGGTAGGATACTCACCCCAGGGCTCCGTCGTCACAGGTAAAGGCAGCCAAATTCGTGTGGAGACAAAAGTGTTGACCAGCAAAGCCTTCAGGGAAATGTAGTCCAAGGCGGGGGAGGGAAAAAAAACCCACCCTAAACCGGGGTCGTTACTAGAAAGTAATTAGATCCCCACCTGGGCCAGGCCGCGGTGACCGGCGGGCCGCGGCGCGGAGGCTTCTGGGAGTGCTCGCTCGTCCGCCACAGTGCGCAGGCGCAGCGCACCGAGTGGACATTTTGGTCTTTGTCCGCGGGTCAGGCCGGCCCCTGGGTCCACGTGGCGCGAAAATAGGAGGTGGGATGTGGGCGTCGGGGGGCCGATCGGGTGGGGAGGCTGGAGGGGGAGGATTCTGGATCTGTTGGGGCGCGACGCGGGGGTGAGGAGTGGGTTGAGGAGCCTCCGGCCTACAGCGCGCGGTGGGGGCTGAGGCCTCTGAGAGGATTCGAGCCTGTGTGATCCCGAGTTTGACCGCGAGTTTGACCGGAGAGTTGAGATTTGGGGAGAGAATCTGGGGGTGTATGACTGCCCCTAGGAGCAAGATGTAGGGCACCGATATGTGGGTGCTAACTTCTGAACCCCCGTGTCTGTTGTCGACAGAAGTGCCGGTAACCACGGTGCCATCTTCTCGGAGCTTCTCTTTGACTTGAAGGTTGGGAAGCGGGGGGTGGGGGAGGGCGGGAAGCTAAGCGGTAAATTACTTAAAGTGAATTTATGTATAAAAACGCGGGTTTTTATAAGTTGGGAATAGAATGCAAATCGCCCGAAGGTTTTTTTGTTCTTGTTGTTTCTTAGAGGAACTTTCTGTTCGTTTCAGACAGGCCTCAGATCTTGGGGGGGCTAGGGGGGGCACTGTGAATAGTTAATGGTACTGTTAAGCCCAAGACTAAACGTCATCAATGCACTCTGAGAAACAGGTGCTTAGCCAGGAAATCGCAGGATTAGAGCGTCAAGGGTTTGAGATTCTGGGTTAGGCTCAGCATTCCTTATGCTTCGAAGAAAACTCGGCTGGTCAAATATTTCATCACGAGTCTCTGTCTCCTAAATAAATGAGGTGTACTCAGGCCGAATGGGATTTGTAGAAGGAAAACTTAACGTACGAAGATTCAAAAAAAAAAATTTTTTTTTGTTTGGCTTGGAGCCACACCTTCGAGTGTGGGGGCTACGCACAGTGAGGTGCCATTTGGCTGGATTCCAGGGCTCCGGTCTATGCTCCAGCTTGTAAGAGTCATCATCTCTCAGGACCTCAAATTTTTTTTTCCTAAGGATCCCACCTTAAATCATCCTTCACGTTATTTTAAGTAATAAGAGTTATATAGGTAAGAAGTGAATGACCTAGAAATAGCTAGTCAGAAGCTATAGAAAAGAAATGAACTTACTCTAGCAGGTTCGGAGTGGGGGGGGGAGCGCGCTTAGCTGGAGAGCACTTAACCCTGCATGTCTATGAGGACGTGGGTTTGAATCCCAGCACTGCCCTCAATCAGACCCACACACAGCAGCATATTGTAGCAATTAAGCACTTTGTAATTTATTTTTTGGGGTTTTAATTTTTGCCACTCCTAGCAGTGCTCAGGGCTTACTCATAACTCCGCTCTCAGGGATCACTGCTGGTGGGGCTTAAGAGGCATACAAGGTAATGAATCCAGCCCAGAGAGGTCGCTTGCAAGGCAAGTGTCCTACCTACTGTACTGTCGTTCTGGCCTCGCTTTTTATTAAATGGAAAAATAAACTCAGTATGCAAAGATTCTTTGCTCCCAAGGAGCCTAACATATATGGACAAAGAGTTGTGGTTTTTTTGTTTTTGTTTTTGAATTTCTGGCTACACTCAGCATTATTTGGGGTTACTCTTGGCTCTGTGCTCAGGGATCACTTTTGGTGGACTCGGTGGAATATATGTGGTGCCAGCAATAGAATTCAGGTTGGCCACATGGAAAGCAAAAGGTGCTTGTTTTTGGGGCCACAACCGGCGATGCTCTGGTGTTACTCTTGGCAAGGCACTCAGGAATTATTCCTGGCAGTGCTTGGAGACCATACAGGATGCCCAGGATCAAACTTTGGTTGGCCTTATGGAAGGCCAATGCCCTACCAGTTCCAGTCCTCATATTAGTATTTCTAATTAAATTTGAGTAGTATATTTTTATCTAAGAATTTTCCTCAATTGTATTTTATAGTGAAAATAAAGATCTTTTATGTTTTAGCCTGCAATATAAGGAAAATGGTTTAAAACTAGCAATACTTGTATTATTGCTACAAAGCTATATGCATTGCATTAAAGAAGTTAGAGTTCTCTTCTGAAATCATTTGAAATAAATTTTCTTTTTCTTGATGGGAGGGACCTACACCTGGCCATTCTCAGGACTTCTGACTCTGTGTTTAGGGATCACTCTTGGCAGGCTTGGGAGACCATATGGGGTGCTGAGGACCAGACTCTGGTTGACCATTTGCAGGGCAAATGCCCTACCCACTGTGCTATCACGCTGGCCCTTCATTTGGAATAAATTCTTTAAGAAATTTTGCTACCAAGCTAATGTACATATGGGTTTATTTCAATTTGTTTTCAAGTTCAGCCACTGTTTTTTGCTTTTTGGGTTACACCCGGCGATCTTCAGGGGTTACTCCTGGCGTTGCACTCAGGAATTACTCCTGGCGATGCTCAGGGGACCATACAGGATGCTGGGAATTGAACCTGGGTAAACCACGTGCAAGGCAAATTCCCTGCCTGCTGTGCTATCACTCCAGTCTGCAGCCACTGTTTTGAAAAATAAATTTGGGACCCGGAGAGTGGGTAGGGCACTTGGCTTGAATGCAGCCACCAGGATTCTGTCCCCTACATCCCTTATGGTTCTTTAAGCACCACCAGGAGTAATCCCTGTGTGCAGAGCCAGGAGTAACCACCGAGCATTGCTGAGTGTGTCCAAAAACAAAAACCCAAAAAGAATAAATTTGATTTGTTAAAAAAAAAGTATTATTTTGGGGGTTTGGAGAAGTAGTTCAAAGGGCTGAGCACATGCTTTAAATGCAGGAAGCCCAGGTTTGATCCTCCTGCAATGCTGGGAGTACCTCCTGAGCACTGAGTTTGGAGTATCCCCTGAGCACCACTATATGTCGCCCCAAAACAAAAATAATGTATCTTATGATTAGATAAAATTGGAATATTTCACTGCTCTCATCTCCCATCACATTCTTTGTCTAATAAGCATAGTTGCTTGTGTATCTTTCAAGTGGCCATTTTGTTGGGACACTGATGTGTATTATCTTTCCCTCTTACTTTTTTATTTCTTAGGTGTTGGGGATCAAACCCAGGGCCTCTTAGAAATGCAGAGCATGCTTTCTACTGCTGAGCTAATCATAATTTTTTTTTTCTGTCTCTTAAGTGCTGCATAAATTAAGTTGCCATGTTAGGGGCCTGAGAGATAATACAGTGGGTAGGGTGCTTTCTTTGCACAACAGCCATCTGGGTTCGATTCCCAGCACTGCATATTGTCCCCCAAGTTCAACGGGCGTATAGAGCCAGAAGGAAGCCCTGAGCACCGCTGGGCGTGGCCCAAAACCAAAATGACAGAAATGCAGTACTGTAGTTGTTTTCATTGTTAGATATTTACGCTGTGTCTGTCTTTTGCTGTTGCTTACCCTTTTTGTTTGGAAAATTCAGATATAGTCGCTTTAATTTTCATTCCATTTTAGCACTTAATGGACTTTCAAAATTTAGTATTTCCTTCTAAATCTGTTAGAGATTTAACTTTGGATCTAAGAGGATAGGAATGCTGATGCAGGAGCAGTGATGGAGGGGGTCTCTGTTGTTCCCAGGTTCTTTATTTTCCTGGATTCCCTATTTTCAAATGTGAAAATACTGAGTAATAGAAATGCTCAAACTCAGATATAGAGAGTAGAAAAGTTTGTTGGAAAGAAGGAAAGGAAAAGGAACTCCCCATGTGGGGAGGAACTTAACAGATTTAATGAGTCGTTCATTTATGTGTCATACTGTGTTCTTGGAGGAGTATCTCTGAAGTAGTTTGCTACAAGTGTTAAGTAGTACTCCACCTAGCAGTGTTCAAAGAGCACTTTTCCCCTAGAATCTTACTAGGGGGAGGGGTTGAATATTTGATTTCTTTGCATTGGACATAAGTAAAACTTGGTAGCTTGGAGTAGGTTTCAATTTCACCCCTTATTATAAATTGCATGGTTATATATTCTGTATGTTACAGGGCTTTATTATTTGGGAACTGTTAGATCATCCTTCGAAGGGTGTCATTTTTTCTAGGCACTGTTACATTAGAAAGCTTAGCCCTCTTAAATGTATTGCAGTGTTGTGTTTTGACTGTTTTTTTTTTCTTTTTGGGTCACACCCGGCAATGCACAGGGGTTACTCCTGGCTCTGCGCTCAGGAATTACCCCTGGCGGTGCTCAGGGAACCATATGGAATGCTGCGAATCAAACTCGGGTTGGCTTTGTGCAAGGCAAATGCCCTACCTGCTGTGCTATTGCTCCAACCCAATGTGTTTTGACTGTTAACAGTGGTCATTACTTTTTTTTCAAAAAAAATATATATATATATGTGGAATAAGAACGTTTTCATTTTTTTTTATTTGTGGGGAGAGTAGGCCACACCCAGCAGTGCTCAGGGTTTACCTGGCATTACTTGGGAACCATAATGTAGTGCTTGGGAACGAACCTGGATTGGCTTCATGTAAGGTAAGTACCTTAACTTTACTTTTGTGCTGTCTCTTGGCCCAGGAAATTTTCCAGGGGAGATTCAGGGGACCACACCTGACAGCACACAGGGATCACTTTTGTTGTTACTATTTTATTAAATCTCTGTGAATGGCAAAGTTACAAAATTGTTATGATTGAGTCTGTTGGTACAGTGTCTGATTACCAGTACCTACTTTCCTCTCACAGATGTCCCCAGTTTTCCTCCCAGTCCCAAGTCTACCTCTTTGGCAGGCACTTTAGGTATTTTATTTTGCAATACTATTATTGATAGAGTGTCTTGCATATCACCTCATCTTTCAAATCCCAGTCCTCTTCAGAGTACTACCTCCTATTATTTTCTTAGTGGTCCCATTCCTGTCCTACTTCCCCCTTCCCCCCAGCGGCAAATTTTTAGGAATCACTCCTCCTAGGCTGGTGTGGGGGCATATGGGGTACTTGATCAAACCTGAGTCTACCGCATAAAAGGCAAGAATCTAGCCCACTGTGCTATCTCTCTGGCTCCAGAAGAATCTTTTGTTGTTGTTGTTATTTGGCTGTATCTAGCTGTACTCAGGGTTTACTCCTGGCTTTGCATAAGGATCGCTCCTGGTAGTATCCAGAGGACTACATCTGGTGCCTAGTATTGAACATGGCCCTGCAGTTTGCAACACAAGCTCTTATCTCTTGTACTATATCTCAAACCCCTTTTTAAAAATTTTTCTGTGTAAACCTTAGAATCACCTTTTTTTTTAAAAAAAATTTTTTTGTTAGTGAAACACCATGAGATACAGTTGTAGATTTACAATTTTTTGTCCTTGGGTTTCAATTATACAATGATCAAACACCCATCCCTCCACCAGTGCCCATTTTCCACCACCTCGGGTCCTAGTATTCCTCCCACCCCCATCTCCCCCACCCCACCCTGCCTCTGTGGCGGGGTATTCCCTTTTGTTCTCTCCTTTTGGGAGAATCACCTTTTTTTTTTTAATATATAAAATTATTTTTTGTTTTGCATCACATCCAATGGCTTATTACTTTGGTATTTAATACCGGATTCAACTAGGGTTGATCTTTGAGTACCTTTGGGTGTGGTCCTAAGACAAACAATAAAACAAAACAAAACCCCCTGCCACGTGGCAGTATTTTTCAGATTCTTAGGAACTGTTAGAAAATTATGCTACTTGGTGAGGAATGCATTGCTGAAGGGGAGTGGACAGGGTTAAAGGATCAGTTTTGAGACATTGTATGCCTAAAACCTAGTCACGAATAACTTTAAATGCAAGATGACTGAAGAGAATTATACTTGTGTCCACTGTGTATTTTTTTATGGGCACAAGCCATTGTTACTTGTTTTTATGTGAAAAGTTTTTCTAGACAGGTATGCGGGGAAGGTGGTGTAGTAAAAGTCTGTGCTTCAATCTCTCTCATGTATCTCTTAGAGAGTAAGAGCATTGGCCTCCGTTCTCCCTGTATGGTTAGCCCTAGCAGAATGAGGTCATTTTTGTTTCCGGTAACTCTTCTCAGTACTTGCTTTACAAGATGGTGCATTCCCTTTTAGAATTTGCTAAATCTGGGGCTCCTCAGTTCCAAATCCCTGCTTTATTTTGACTTTTTTTTTTTTTGGTGAAAATTAAAAGGAAATCAATCAAACTCAGTGCTTGAAGTATGAAATAGGATTGGTTTGGGGGCCACATCCGGTGGTGCTCAGGGTTTCTGGCTCTGCACTCAGGGATCATTCCTAGTGGGTTTAGGAGACCATATGGGATGTCAGGGATTGAACCTGGTTGGCCGTGTGCAAGGCAAGTACCTTAACCACTCACTGTGCTCTTGCTTTAGCTCAGACTTTTTTCCTCCTTTGAAGCAAGGTAGTTAATTAAAGAAATTATTTTTTTGAGAAAAATGTGAAAGGAGAGAAAAGGGGGAAATATGTTCAAGGGAGACAGGCTTGAAGAGCACGGTTCTAGCCCAATTTTTAAAGCTTTTTACTCTCCCAGGTTTTCCCCAGCAGTGGTCTGTTGCTTTAATTTCTAGGCCCCTTATAAGGGATACCTGTGTATTTGTTTAGTGTTCCCTTTGACAATTGAAGTTCTTCCTGAGGCTTCTTTTTTCTTTTTTAGGCGTAAGTAGGCCTAAACTTCCTATTTAGGCCTCTTGAACAGAGTCTGTTTTGACAGCCATCAGGTAGAGTTTTAAGGTGGGTTTTGTTTTTTTTTTGACTTTTTAATTTTGTTATTTTTGTGTCACTTTGTTAAGTCCTTCATTCTGAGGGACAAATATTTTCAGGTTATTCCAGAACCACTTCTGCTGTTTTGAGTGTTTTGGGTCACAGTTACAAATCATTTTGAGTTCGCATAGGTTTTCTCTTCCAGCTTCACTAAAGTTACAGCTATGAATTGACTGTGTGCATATGCATGTCATTCTGCCTCACCCCTTTACGCAGAATGTTTTCTATGATTTTTCAGACATACTCGAAAGATTCCAAATAGAACTGTCACCATCCTTTTGTGACACCTTCTATGTGTCCTGATTTGTTGTGTTCCTGGAATTCTTGCCTTGACTTTGTGCTTCATGCCCTGTGTGGACAGTGACATTCCATCCGTGTCTCATAGCAGTAATGATCTTCTCATACCTGATACTTTCATTTCCATTCACCTTCTCATCTCCAGTTCTGGTCTGTGTATCCAGTTCCCTCATGGATCTGGATGCCTGTTTGTTTCTCAGAAACCTGACACTTAATCTCCAGAGAAGCACATTTGATCCCCTTCTTAGTTGGTCCCTGTGTGTTTCTCTCTGAGCAGTGCTGTATAAATCTCTCTAGAAGCCTTCTCTATTGAGTTGTAAGCATACAAAGCTTGACTTCCTTCACCAGCTTCTACTTTTCTCCACCAGTGTTCTGTGGAGACAAAAGCATTTGATGAGTATGGCCTTAAAACTCAGGATTCAAATTTTCTTAGTGCCCTTGCCCATATTGTTTGTGTTTTAATCTGTGAAGCTAACGTCATTACTTTATTCTTTTTCACAGGGTCCCTCCTTGTACATCCCTGGAAACCACCTTCCTCATCCTTCAGAAGCCTGGAAGCACCAGAGTTCAGCCTGAGCTCTCCGATTGTACTTTCATCCCACCTTTAACCTAGCATTTCCCTGGTAGCAGGTTATAAATGCCTCTACTGATTCTCTATTGAAGCAAGGCAGCAATTGTGGATGGGGGAGAGAGAAGTGAAAAGGGAGTCTGTCCAGGTGAGTGAATGAAAATCAGGTTACAGTGTTGTCAACATTGACATCTCTAATGTGCTTTTCTTGAGGTAACACTTGGTTGTAAATCCTTGATACTAAATGCCATTTTTCATCATTGTATGTTATACATTGTATTTATGTGACTTTGTTTTGATAGAGAATGTTGGATAGTCCTGCAAACTGAATTCTTCCAGAAATAAGGGCTACTGTTTGTTTCATATCTCTTTCATAGGGGCGGGAGAGAGTACATTGAGTAGGGAGTTTACTTGGCATGTGGCTGATCTGGGTTTGATCCCCAGAGTCCCATTTGGTCCCTTGAGCATCACCAGGAGTGGCCCAAAAAAACCAAAACCATAATCTACCTCTTTCATCAGATCATAGAGAGAATTTAACTGTTCTTGAGAGAAGTACTTCATATGTCATTTGTATTGCCTCTCTTTGATCTCTCTCCTTGTTGCCTCTGGTCTCAGGAACTCTGACGTATGTAATCTACTCCTAATGCATTGCCTTATGTAAATCTTCATTCTTTACATATTATGTGACATATAGGTTTTTTTTCCTTCCTGTTTTTGGTGTTTTAGACCACACCCGCAGTGACTCGGAGCTGCTCCTGTCACTGTACTGGGAGGTGCTGAGGATTAAGTGGTGCCGGGGAGCAAACCCCAGGTTTTCATGTGTAGAGCATACACTGTAATCCTTAGAACTCTAATCCTCTCCAGCTGCTTAGGTTCCTTTATCTAAAAAACTTTTTACTGAATCATCGTGAATTACAAAGTTATTTATGATTGCATTTCAGGGGTACGTTGTTCAAGCACCCATCCCTTTATCAACGTCCACTTCCCTCCACCTATGTCTCCAGCTTCCCTCTTGTTCCCCCAGCCTGCCTCTGACATGCACTTTTTTCTTCTTTTTTTCCCTTTTAGTCACTGTGGTTTACAATACTGTTAACTGATAGGGTGTCATGCATATCGCTCTTCCTCCTTAGTTCCTTATTACTTGCTTCTGTCTCATTCTTTCAGTTGATAAATATGTCAGTAGGTTTTACAACTGTAATCATATTTTCGTATGTCTTATTGGTCTTTTTATATCAATAAACTGTTCCTGGCACCCCATATGGTCCCCTGAGCATGGCTGGGCCCTGAGTGAGAGATAGGAGTAAGCCTTCAGCATCACAAGCGCCAAATTTAAAAAAAGAAAAATCATGAGTGCTTTTCTCCTGTATGTGTCTTTGCTTCCCACCCACATACCCTCAGTCTTAATTTTTTCAGACCACACCTGGCTGGTGGGTTCGGGCAGGGTGGTGATGGTGGGTGTACTTTTGGTTCAGTGTTTAGAGAATCTGGGCCTCTGGCCATTCTAGTACTTTGTGGTCCACCTCCAGCCCTTTCCTACAGTTCTCTTTCAAAGATGCAGTTACTTTTACTTAGTAGTACAGAGGACAGGACTCTTGCCTTGAACACTATAAACCAATCCAGGTTTGATCTCAGCATCCCTTTTGGTCCCCAAGCACCATCAGGAGTAATTCCTGAATGCAGAGCCATGAGTAACCCCTGAGCATTGCCAATTTGGCCCCCAAAACAAAAAACCCTGTTTTAAGTGGAAATACTATCTCAAAGTTAATTTGTAGATTTGAGAGAAAAGTTGTTCTCAAAAGAAATAAACCAGAAACTATAGAGATAGTACAGTGGGCAGGGCACTTGTCTTGCATGTAGCTGACAAGTGACCAGATTCAGTTGTCCCCTTAGCACTGCCAGGTGTGGCCCAAGAACAAAAAAAGCAAAATAATAATAATAAAACCATTTTGCAATTCTGCTATTACAGTATTTTCATTTATTTATGAAATATTTATGAAATGTGTATTAAGCACCATTTTAGATGTCACTGTCCTCCCATTGTTCATCAATTTGCTTGAGCAGGCCCAGTAACGTCTCCATTGTGAGACTTGTTTTTACTATGTTTGGCATATCGAATATGTCACGGGTAGCTTGCCAGGATTGCCGTGCGGGCGAGATACTCTCAGTAGCTTGCCGGGCTCTCTGAGAGGGGCGGAGTAATTGAACCCGGGTCGGTCAGGTGGGCTGCATGCAAGGCAAATGCCCTACCGCTGGGATCTAAAATGTCAGTTATCAGTTAAAATTTTATCTCTCCCGTGGCCTATATTTTATTGTGATTTTTCAACCTCAGTTTTATTTATTTGGATCACTTCCAGTGGTGTTCAGAGATCACTCCTGACTCCTCAGGGATCATTTCTGGTGGGCTTAGGGACCCTTTATATTGCTGGGAATCAAACCTGGCTCAGCTATTTGCAAGGTAAGTGCCCTACCTGCTGGCCAGGGGCCAGTATTTTAATTGGGAAAGATTTTGAGTGAATAAAGTGAAAAATATATTTTATCAGATCTAAGTGGAGGAAAAATAAAAATAAAACCAGCATGGAGAGGGTTAAGTTGGTCAGGGGAAGTTCTCGCTGAGAGAATATTTGAAGAAAAAGTGGGAAGGTTATGAGAGTGTGGCACATGGTATTTGGTTGGCACACAATCATTTAGTCAAAAGGAACAAAAAATACTAAAATAAAACCCTGCAGCGCGCATGTGTGTTGCTAACCTCTGCACATGGTGCCTGAGTGCATGTCGCCCACATCTCCCCTTTTGAGATGTGGATTTTTATACTTCCATACTGAGATGTGTACCACGACTCCACATTCTAGAGAAGCCCTCATTCTCTTCTGAGTGTGTTACATACTCTTTGTTTCTCTTCTTCCCTTTCCTCAACATTTCCAGATAAAACCTGTTTTTACTATAAGGAAAAACCTTGTGGCAGAAGCTTCTCCTGTTCAAGGAGTAGGGCAGTGGACTGGAGCGGAATAGGAAAGGGAAATGAGTAGGCTTGCTAAGGAGGTGAGTGAGGAGAGACATTAGTCTCTGATCTCGGTGTTTGGGATTTTTAGAGATACTGAATAGGGGGCTGAGACAGTGCAGGGGTAAGGGGCAAAGCTTGAATGAGGCTGACCCCTGGACTGCTACAGGTCCAAGCAACAGTGTAGCCTTGGACCGCATTGGCCAAGAATGGCTCAAACCACCACCACCCCACCACCCCAAATAACATTTTTCTTAAATACATAATTTTACTTAAAAGAGAAATAATGTTTTTTCATTTTTTGGTAAATATTTTTACTGACCTGTTATATAAATGCAAGCTGGAGTCTCATTTCTACTATCATTGTTTCAGAATATATAAAAATTTATCACTTTACATCAAGGGTAGGGAGACTATTTTTGTTGTTTGCTTGTTTGTTTTTTTCTCATTTGGGGGACATGCCAATGGTGCTCAGGAGTTACTCCTGCCTTTGCACTCAGGAATTACTCTTAGGAGGCAGGGACTGAAACTGGGTCGGCCCCATTCAAGCCAAGCACCCAACTTGCTGAACTATCGCTCAGCCCCTGTTAAAGAACATTGGGATATTTATATCATCGTTGTTGGATTATAGAGTATAGGTGATGAGCCGCCACAGGCCTCCATGTTACTAGGTATCTCATCATGTACCTGATCAGACTGTATGATTTTACTGGCTGCACTTTCTTCCCCTGGTTTACATAGACATAGACAAGAAGTAGTTTAAGAGTTTTTATTTGCTTTTGTGATTTTAGCTATACCGAAACCCTAGCAGTGCTCAGGGTTTATTTCTGGTTCTGTGTTTGTAGTGACCCCTGGGGGTGCTCAGAGAACCATATGTAGTACTGGGGATTTGAACCAGGGTGAGAGCTTCTGCAGTGGCATATAAGCCAAGTGCCTTCCTTTCTTTACTATCTCTCTTGGTCTTTAATAAGTTTTTAATTTTTGAGGAGTGGTTTGGGCTACCCAACGGTTCCCAGGGACTAAGCATCTCTGTGCTCAGGAGTGACCCTGACTCTGCTAGGGATTGAATTGGGTTCACCTGTATGCAAGCGAGCACCTGAACCTCTGTATTATTTCTTCCGTCCCATAGTCTTTTTTTTTTTTTTTGGAGGTTCTTTAGTATACTACCAACACATGACTTTTTTTTTTCAAGATTAGTTGCAATATTTCGTTTGAAACTATATCAATAATTTTTTAGGGTCTGGAGAGATAGTATAATAGGTGATCGTTTACCTTGCATGCAGTTAACCTGGATTCAATTCCTAGCATCCCATATGGTTCCTGGGCTCTGCTATTAGTGATTACTGAGTGCAGAGCTAGGAGTAACCCTGAGCATTGCTAGATTTCTATCCCCCACCCTTTTTTCCCCCCGCTTTTTACTTGGCAACGCACAGGGGTTACTCCTGGCACATGTACTCAGGAATTACTCCTGGCGGTGCTCAGGGGACCATATGGGATGCTGGGAATCGAACCTGGGTCTGCTGCATGCAAGGCAAATGCCCTACCTGCTGTGCTATCAGTCCAGCCCCTTTTTCAGTTCTCTTAACATAAAGTTTCTTAAACTTTGAACTTTTTTCCATGAATGATTTTTTTAAATATTCTTTGATCATTGAGTTGTGTATATCTTTTAAATGCTGATATCTTGTATACGCTATTAAAAAATATCTTGTTTACATCACCACCAATCTTGTTTAAAAAGTTGAAATGTATTCTAAGCATTTGTACGCTATCAACCTCATGGTAGAAGATATAGTCTCCCAAAATTATTTCAAAAAAATTTTTTTATTGAAGTACCATGGTGATTCGCAAAGTCATTCATGATTGAGTATATGAAAATTGCATAAAATTTTCAATACTAATCCCTTCACCAGTGTCCCCAGTTTCCCTCCCAGCTATCCTAGACAGGCACTTTCTGGGAGGGAGGCAGGCCACATCCAGCTGTGCTCAGTGCTTACTCCTGGCTCTGTGCTCAGGGATCACTTTTGTCAGACTTGGAGGACCATATGGAATGCTGGGGATCAAACCTGCTATGCTGGGGCTGGAGAGATAGCACAGCAGGTAGGGCATTTTCCTTGCACGTGGCTGACCTGGGTTCGAGTCCTAGCATCCCATATGTTCCCCTGAGCACTGCCAGGAGCGATTCCTAAGTGCAGGGCCAGGAGTAACCCCTGTGCATCACCGGGTGTGACCCAAAAAGCAAAAAAAAAAAAAAAAAAAACCCCAAAAAACCAACCTGCTGTGCTCTCTCTCCAGCCCATGATTTCTTTTTTTGACAGCTGAGAGCTGAGTAGTATTCAGTTGTGTGTATATAACTAGTTTATTCAGTTATTTCCAGATTATAGCTATTGTGAATAGTGCTGCAATGAACATAGGAGTGCAGATGTCTTTTTTGAAGAGTTTTTGGGCTTTTGGTATATTCCAAGAAGTGAAATTGCTGGGTTTTATGGAATCCCAATTCTTAGTTTTTTGAGGACTGCCTATTATATTTCAAAAAGACTGAATCAGTCAACATTCCCACCAGCAGTGAGTGGAGGAAGGTCTCCTTTCCCCTACATCCACTCAGACACTGGTTGTTTTTGTTCTTTTGATGAGCCAGGTTCTCTGGTGTGAGGTGACATCTCATTATTTTGATTGGCATTTTCCCTGATGGAGAGCATGTTTTTCATGTCCCTTTTGGCCATTTGTATGTCTTGGGGGAAGTTTCTGTTCATCTCTTCACCCATGTTTTGGTAAGTTGCATGTTTTTTTTCTACCAGTGCTTTATGTGTTGGATATTAAATCCTTTGTCAGTTGAGTGGTGGGCAGATATTTTCTCCCAGTTCATGGATTGTCTTTTTATTCTGGTGATCTTTTCCTTTGGGGTGCAGAAGCTGTTTTTTTTTTTTTGTTTTTTATTTATTTTTTTTTCCCTTGTGGGTTTTGGGCCATACCCGGCAATACTCAGGGCTTATTACTCCTGGGTCAGGGATAACTCCTGGTGGTGCTTGGGACCATAAGGGATACTGGGGATTGAACGGGTTGGCCATATGCAAGGCAAGTGCCATCCCTGCTGTATTATCACCCCAAACCAGGGGTGCTAAAACTTCTTAATGTGGTCCTATTTTTTTTATCTTTGCTCCCACTTATTGGCCAGTGCATTAAATCCTTAAAGATACTTCATAGTTTCAATGTCATGGAGAGTTTCATGTTTCCACAGTTATGAATTCAGATCTGATATTGAGGTCTTTAATTCAATTTTTATTTGACTTTTGTGCGTGGTGTTCGAAAGGGATCTGCATTCATTTTTTTTCTCATGTTTCTGACCAGTTTTCATGCACTGCTTGTTCAGGCTTTCCTTGCTCCTCTTCATACTTTTTGCTCCTTTTTCAAAGATTAACTGTCCATATATCTGAGGGTCCGTCTCGTGAATCTGGACTCTGAATTAAATTAAATGTCATTGGTCTGAGAGTCTATCCTCATTCCAGTACCACAATGTCTTAGTTACAGAGAAACTTTATTATTCAACTTGAAGTTGGGAAAAGCAATACCCCCCAACTTTTCTCCAAGAGAGGGGTGTGTGTGTGTGCGTGTGCGTGTGCCTGTGTGTGTGTGTGTGTGTGTGTGTTGCATATGAGTTTCAGGAATGCTTGATGTATTTGGGGGGCAGGGTGTTTTGTTTGTTTTTGGGTCATACCTGGCTATGCTCAAGGATTACTCCTGGCTCTGCACTCAAGAATTACTCCTGGCAGTGCTCAGAGAACTATATGAGATGCCAAAGATCAAACCTAGGTTGGCCACATGCAAAACAGGTGCCCTACTTTGTACAATCACTCCAGCCCTGACCTAATTTTTTTCACTGTATCACTGTCATCCTGTTGTTCATCGAATGCCTTCATCGAATGCCTTGAGCAGGCCCCAGTAACGTCTCCTTTTTCCTAGCCCTGAGATTTAAAAAATTGCCACATTTGAGGCTCTTTCAGGGTCAGGAAAATGAGACCCATCATTGTTACTGGTTTTTGGCATATTGAATACGCCATGGGGAGTTTGCCAGACTCTGCCATGTGGGCAGGAAACTTTTGGTAGCCTGCCAGGTTCTCCAGAGTAAGAAGTAGATAATAAGATGTGATAATTTTTGTTCTTTTTGGGCTACACCTGGTGGTACTCAGGGCTTACTCCTGGTGCCACTCAGGGTCCATAAATGGTGCGAGGAATCAAACCTGGGTTGTCCACATGTAAGACTTGCACCCTATCTCCTGTACTATCACTCTGGCCTATGTCATGGGTATTCTAATAGGGACTGCATTGAATCTGTAAAATGCTTTGGGAAGGTCAGCATTGCTATTTTGACAGTGTTAATCCTCCTGATCCTTGTGCCTCTTTTAGTATTTTATAGGGTTTTTTTTTTTTGTTTGTTTTTGTGGGTTTTGTGTGTGTGTGTGTGTGTGTAAGCCTTTATCTATTCTGTTAAGCTGATTGGGGCACAGATATGAATGGGAATTTTTTTTAATTCTATTTTATTTTTTGCATATAGAAAAGCCATAGATATCCGCACGTTGATTTTTTTATAGTCTGCCACTTTACTATACAAGTCTGTTTTTCTAGGAGTTTTTTTGGTAGAGTCTTTAGGGTTTCTATATATAGTATTAATCTTATCTGCAAATAGAATTTGACTTTTTTTCTTACCTGGATGCCCTTAATATCTCTTTTTTACCTAATTGCTATTGAATGATAGTGGTGAGAGTGAACAACTTTGAGTTTATCATAAAGCTTTTGTCTGGAAATGATATTTAAGGACCCTGTACTCACATTTGTTGTTTAAGCAAGATAGTTGGCCATGCCCAAGTTTGCTTAGATGAAGCAATATTAGCCTTCTGTGTAAGGAAACTATTACTACTGGTGAATGGTAACACAGTCCACTCCACCTTCCTCCTCTTGTTCCTGTCTTAATTAGATTTTAGTTTTTATTTCGGGTCATACCAGCCAGTGCTCAGGGGACCATTTGTGATTCCAAGATTTCTTCGCTTTCATTTTTTTCCTTTGGGGTGTGTGTGTGTGTGTGTGTGTGTGTGTGTGTGTGTGTGTGTGTGTGTTTGCAGGGAAGGGATGGGAACCTAGGGCCTTTCTCCTGGCCCTGTGCTTAAGGATCAGTTCTTCTAGGGCTTACTGAATTTCAGTGGGTGCCACTGAACCCCAGTTGGCTGTGTGCAAAGTACCCGCTGTACTATGTCTAGCCCCAATGTTCTTTTGTAGTAGTGGGCTTCCTCAGATGTGTGTGGAAATACTGACTGCACCATCACGTTTAAGACTCACCAAAGCTTTTTCCACTCTGGAGAAGCTGTGCTCCTATGAACATGTGTCTTTTCCCTTACCTTTCTCTAAATTCTTTTATGGTATGTTTCTTTTTTTGGGCCACCTGGCAGTGCTCAGGGGTTAAGTTACTCCTGGCTTTGTACTTAGGAATCATTCCTGGTGGTGTTCAGGGGGGCCATAGGAGATGCTGGGGATTGAACCTGGGTCTGTAGCATGCAAGGCAAGCACCTTATGCTGTACTATCTCTCTAGCCCCTCTAAATTAATTTCTTTAAATAAAGCTCTTTTACTTGAAAAGAAAGACTAATTCACCAACTCAGTATTGGTATGAGGATTTTTTTCATACTGAGACAAAAATTAGTGAAATTATCTCCAAAGCACAGTCTGAAATATCAATACTACTAAATGATACGTAATGCTGGTAAGGTAACATTTGAATACTTGTTTTCTACCCGCACTGCTAAGCACCTTATACATTCACCACTTTAAATGATGGTTCTTTGTATTCCATTTTAGAAGAAGTCTGAGAAGATGGTCAGCATATAGAGAGGCAACAGAATTGGGAGGCAAGTTGCATCCATCTTCGGTAAAATACAAAATAAGGAAAAAAAATTATTGAATATAAGTCGGAGAAATAGTTCCTCAGATCTCAGACTTTATATCTGTAAGACAACACCTCACAGCTTCATCAGAAAAAGAGTTTAAAACAGTTTAGGGTCACTTAATAACGAAGGAACTCTTAGAGGAAAGAATCATTGATTTGTAAATACCTTCAGGTTAAAAAAAAGTTGAATACCACTTGATATTAGAATCTTCAGACTGGAGAGAAAGAAATCTTACAATTTTAGTGAATTTGAGAAATTTTTCACTCACGTGTCACACTTCATTAAATGTAGAAGCCTTTTTCTTTTAAGGACTATTAAAAAGCCTTTAACTAGATGACAAATCTTAATAAGGACAAGAAAATTCATACTGGAAAGGAACCAGTGAAAGTGACAAAAGTTTACTTACTTGAAAATTATACTTAAGAAGCTTTGAATGATCAATTTTCCTTTGTAACATACCCATTATTCTACATTTGCAAGGCCCTACACAGAGAGATTTTACAAATGTAAAGAAATGTGTAAATACTTTCAGCCAAAAGTAAGTCATTTGTCAAAAAATTTCTACTGTAGAGAAATCTGGTGAATGTTGGAAAAATTCCATTCAGATGTCACACCTCAGTCAGCAGAGAAATAATAGTGGGGGCGGCCCCTTTGCCTGTAAGATATGTGGGAAAGTCTTCAATCAAAAGTCAAATCTCACTGAACATGAGCATTTTCATAGCAGAGAGAAACCCTTTGAATGTAATGAATGTGGAAAAGCCTTCAGCCAAAAGCAGTATGTCATTAAACATCAAAACACTCATACTGGGGAGAAGCTTTTTGAATGTAATCAGTGTGGAAAATCGTTCAGCCAGAAGGAAAACCTTCTTACACATCAGAAAATTCACACCGGAGAGAAACCTTTTCAGTGTAAGGATTGTGGGAAAGCATTCATTCAGAAGTCAAACCTCATCAGACACCAGAGAACTCACACAGGAGAGAAGCCCTTTGTTTGTAAGGAGTGTGGAAAAACCTTCAGCGGCAAATCCAACCTCACTGAGCATGAGAAGATTCATATTGGAGAGAAACCGTTTAAATGCAATGAATGTGGAACAGCTTTTGGCCAGAAGAAGTACCTCATAAAACATCAAAACATTCACACTGGTGAGAAGCCCTATGAGTGTAATGAATGTGGAAAAGCCTTTTCTCAACGAACATCACTTATTGTACATGTGAGAATTCATTCAGGGGATAAGCCTTACGAATGCAATGTGTGTGGAAAAGCCTTCTCTCAGAGTTCGTCTCTCACTGTTCATGTGAGAAGCCATACAGGTGAGAAACCTTACGGATGTAATGAGTGTGGGAAAGCTTTCTCACAGTTTTCAACCCTGGCTCTACATTTAAGAATACATACAGGTAAGAAACCATATCAGTGTAGTGAGTGTGGGAAAGCTTTCAGCCAGAAGTCACACCACATCAGACACCAGAAAATTCATACTCACTAAACACCCTTTGAGTATCTTGGATATCTTGGAAAAGAATTTTACACCTCATAGGACATCATAAATAATTATTTTGAAAATAAACATCACAAGTGAGACAAACCAGAATAAGGGATATGATAATACTGAACAGTTTTATGATGCAATGCTGGTGCCCAACAAAAGTTATATATAGCAAAGTTAGTGCTAAAACTGGACAATTTCCACTACATGCAGGAATGGAAAACAAGCTTGTTGTGAATGCTGTCTGCTTAGTTCTGAAGATATTCACAATATTATAAGAAAATTAGTGAATATTGGGACAGAAAACCATTTTATGGTATTGAACCAACAGAACAGAAGACTTTCTGAAAACAATGGCATTTATTAGAATTTAGAATATAGGAACGGCATCAGGACTATGAGAAGATAATGGAACTATTTTAAAAAATGATTTGGAGGTAATTTTTTTCTCCAAAGAAAAAAGAAGTAGACCATGGGCAATGAGTTCTTAAAGTGGTTAAGATCCAATGGTATTAAACCATAAATATGAAAATGCTACATTATTCTAAAATGGTGACAACTTTGGGAGTAGGAGAACATTCTTATAACAGATTCACAATACCCAGCAGTTCTGCCCTGTAGTAAGTAAAGCTCAGGATAAATATATCAGGCTGTTTGCTGTGGCATGGTTTGTAGTAGCCATAAACTGGAAATGACTTAAGCTCCCATTAGTTACAAAATTGCAAAACCTATTATCTAATGTATATCTGTAAAATGCAACAAATATGATCTACTTGTATTACAGTTAAAGATCTCAAAATGGGGGAGAATGAAGTTGTAGAGTCACATTACATGATGATGACATTTTTGTAAATTTGAGCTAAATTTTTCCTCATGAAATTTAGAACTATATATTAATAATGAATATATATATGTCTGTTAGTTTTTGTTTTTTTTTTTAATGTATTTGAAATGAATTGGATTGGAAGGACACAGCAAACTGTAGGGTTGCTTGTGAAGAGTGAAGGGGATGTGTGTGGAATGGGAATGGGGTTGGCTTGAGATATATATGAACATCCTTTTCTCAAAAATGGAAGACTGCAAGCAAATATATCAATATTAGATAATTCTGGATTGTGGTATATGGATATCTTGTCTTATTTTTTGTACCTTTCTGTATTCTAAAATTTTCTCACAAAGAACGGGGGTGAGGATGGGAACACTGTACCTGTAGAAATTAAGTTCTAATGGAGTCATTCCCAATCAAATACTAAACTTTTTATAGAGATATTTCTAAAGTTTTATCAGCAATGAGTGGATGAAGTTGTTCTCTATGTAATATGAAATTATCTATTTTATTAAAATTAAAAATGATAGTATAATCCAAATCTGTCTACATTTATTTTTACATTGTTGCATACACTAGATATCAACATTTCTAATATTTTGCATCATTATCATTTGGACTTGGAAATTTTAAAGAACTTTTAGCTAAGGGTACATACATAGAAGACAATTTTCAGGTAATTATGGAAATGCTTACTTACCTATTATAAATTTCCATGAAAATGGCATATGCATTAAAATAGTTCTGACTGTTGCTTTTTGTGGGTGAGTGGTGGAGATGTGCAGGCAGAGTTCGGGGGCTGCTCCTGGCAGCCGTTACTTGGCCAGCTGGGGGTGGTTCAGTGCTGGACCCATAGGTGCTAGCTCTGTGGGCCAGTGGTGCTGGGGGGCTTTGCTGTACCAAGTGGTAATACAGTGGTCTTCATCATGTAAAACCTGAGTTTTAACGTAAGTTGCCCAGAACACCTATAGAGTAAAGGTCAATACTTGGGTGTTTTTAATGCAGTACCAGGGATTAAACCTAGGATTTAAGACATGTGAGGCATAGACTCATCACTTAGCCACAGAGGTCAACTCAGCTTGGCCACATGAAAGGTACTTATACTGTATCTCTTAACACTCCTATAGCACTGTCGTCCCACATTGTTCACCAATTTGCTTGAGTGGGCACCAGTAATGTCTCCATTGTGAGACTTGTTACTGTTGTTGGCATATCGAACATACCAGGGGTAACTTGCCAGGCTTTGCATTTCGGGTGGGATACTCTCAGTAGCTTGCTGGGCTCTCCAAGAGGGATGGAGGAATTGAACCCGGGTTGGCCACATGCAAGGCAAACGCCCTACCCGCTGTGCTATTGCTCCAGCCCCTCAAAGTTACCTTATATCTCCTACACTCCTCAATTTTTAATCTGCAGATTATTTCCATTGTATTGTTTTGACAGACACCTTTATGTTTTTAAATCTCAAGGTATAATTGAAAAAAATTTGGAGGCTTGAGAGATATAGTACAGTAGATAGAGCTTTTGCCTCGTATGTTGCTGACCCAGGTTCTGTCCTGGGTACCACATGGTCCCCAAGCTCTGCCAGGAGTAATTCTTGAGCACAGCCAGGTGTGGGCTCATGACTCTTCCCCCCCTCAAATTTTTAATTTCCCAAGCCTAATAAAACATGCCTTTACATGGAATTAACTACCTTATGTCTATTAATTCAAGGGAATTTCTGTCTTATGGGGGTTGAGGGAGGGGAGGAAGATGTGCCACACCCTACTTCTCAGTCAGCTCTCCACAGCCACCTGTTTATACTTTTCAGTCCATCCCCGTGGCACAGGTTTTTTTTTTTTGTTTTGTTTTTGGGTCACACCTGGCGATGCTCAGGGTTTACTTCTGGCTCTGCACTCAGGAAATCACTGCTGGCAGTGCTCAGGGGACCATATGGGATGCTGGGAATCGAACTTGGGTTGGCCGCGGGCAAGGCAAGTGCCCTACCCACTGTGCTATTGCCCCAGCTCCCCCTCCCCCCCAGTTTATGATTTTAATTTATGTCAGTGCCACAGATTGAACCCAGGATATCACACATGTAAGGCAGTTCTACTGCTAAGCCGCATTCCTAGCCTTTATATGGGATTTTTTTTTTATTTTGGTGCCATTCCCATTCCCAGGTGATGCTTAGACCCTGGCATCAAACCTAGTACTTCTAAGTGCTCGGGGAGTATTTCATGCTACTTTGGTGTTGATAACCGGATGGGTGAGTAACTGATCCGCTCAAGGTCTCCGAGCTACTCGTCTGCCCTAACTGCTTTCGAGTGCTGTAAACACGTTCCGATTTAAAACTGGTCTCAGAGATAACACACAAATACTCTTCCCCCGCCATCTATGATGAAACCCCATACCCAGTGCCTGTCATGCAAAATTTGACACCCCCTACATTGACAGCACCTGTTTACTTCCTCTCCCTCTTTAAGATCCTAGAGTTGGCTCAACCGAGTAAGACTACCCACTTTCAAACTCATGGCAGGGTTCACACTGGACCCACCTCAGACTAGATTAGTCCAGTCTCAGGATAAAGAAAGATCACGGGAGCTGTTGGTAGAGACCCCGTAAGGCCCCCAGTTTCATCCAGGCATCCTGCATAGCGCCTAGTAACAGACTTGAACCCCGAAAGAGTTAACAAAGTCATGCTAAGTTTTCATCTTTGCATTGCTAGCGCTAACTAGCATCTCCAGAAATCTTTCATTTTTGTTTTGTTTTTTGGCCACCAAAACGGTAATGCGCAGGCATTACTGGGCTCCGCAATCAGAAATTCTGGCGAGGCTTTCGGCACCATATGGGATTCAGAGGATCAGACAGGTCGGCCGCGTGCAAGGGAAACGCCCTTACCCGCTTACTCCTTCTCGCCCCTCCAGAAATCTTTAGGGGGAATACAGTAGCGGGGAGCTAACAACTAGATTTTTTTTACCCCCGCCGAATAGGCGGTTTTCCCTAACTGAACTATATCCCAAATGTCTGTTGCCCCCAGGTACTTTGGCAGCGAACTAGGCGTTTTCATCTCGAGTATCGCGAGTTGGGCTGCCAGAAAGTAGTAAGCCTGGGCATGGTAGTTGGCCGACCCGCTCCGTGTCCAGGCTCTCAACTGGCTTCAATGCCAAAATCCCTAGTTTACACCCGGATTGGAATCCGGAAGTCCGAACTACATTTCCCAGAGGGCTTTGCTGGCTTTCACAGGTCTCGCAGGATTTAGGACGTTTATTTACCGGGTGGCTAGTTTGGCTGCGGGAGTTAGTAATCCAGGCGTTCTATGTTTGGCCAGTGAGCTCGAGACTGGAACCAAGGAAGACCTCGAGCGAGGATTCCATGTTCGCTCTTTGTTGTCCGTTGTATGGAGAGTTGAAGAAATACAATGAGTGGAGTTACAAGAAGACAAAAATCTCATCAACGTCTTTCCAGAATCCTACCCATTTTTGGCGCGGGGGTGTGGGTAGGCCCCCGGTGATGGACAGGGATCACTCTTTGAGGGATCCAGGGGACCAGATAAGGTGTTGGGGATCTAACCGAGTCAGCAGCTTGCAAAGCAGGAGCCCTACCCGCCTTACTATCGTTCCCCGCATGTACCTGTCACTAAGAGGAAAAATAAAGAATGGTTATTGACATTCACAGGCCAAGAGGCATTGGAATTATTTTTTCTTTCTCCCCTAAAGTCTTACTATATATATTTTTTCAGGGCGTAGTCCCCCTGCCCTATTACCTCTTCTTGACTACTAAAAACGATTCAAAAGCCCTGGACTGAAGAGAGGATATTACAGCGGGTCCGGTGTTTGCCTTGCATGGGACCTGCCTGAGTTAATTCCCAGCACCCGATATGGTTCACCCAAACTTTGAGGAACGATCCTTGAGAGCAGAGCCAGGAGGGCCACAACCCTGAACACCATCGGGTGTGACCCTCTTCCCCCAAATAACAAAACAAAAAAAGTCCTGGTAGCAACAACAGAAAGAGTCCTGGTTCTTAGTTCTTCCATTTTATTATAGAATGGGGACCTTGGAGTTAGACCCAAAGACCCAGGATAGGTCCTCCACCATAGGCAGTTTCTCCTTTGAACCTAAATCTTTCCTACCATCTCTTCTAGTCTAATGAAGCAATGGTGTCATAATGACTTGACCGGTTGAAAATAGCGTTTGTCTGTATGCATAGCACCTCACACTAAGTTGGTGATATTGAATGCCACATAATTTATGGATTTGTGTTAGTCTCAGTTCAAGCCAGTTATAAGGTATTTAATTTTCTCAGTATTTTTGCAGTAGGAATGAGACTGAGACTGAGGGCTGAGCAAATAGGAGAACCAGGGATTTCTGGGTAATTGGTGAGTAAACTTTTTGTTTTTCCTTTTTGGGTCACACTAGTTTGATGCTCAGGGGTTATTCCTGGCTCTGCACTCAGGAATTACTCCTGGCAGTGTTCAGGAGACCATATAGGATGGTGGGGATTGAACTGGGGTCAGTTGTGTGCAAGGTAAACATCCTACCCTACTGTTGCTCTCTCCCTTGGAGTGAACTCTTGAACCAATTGCCAAGCCTATTTTGAATTAAGCATTCAAATGGTCTTCATTGAGGATTGTTGTTGATCCCAGGTACCCCATAAGATCCCCCATGACCCACCAGAGTGATCTCTGAGCACAAGAGCCAGGAGTAAGTTGAGCATCACCAGGTGTGATCCAAAAAACAAACCAAATGTTAAATGTGATGTACATCTTACTGCAGTTCAGAGAAAGGGATGTGTGTGGCTCAGTGACAGACAGTTTGCATGGATGAGACCCTGAGCTCCATTAAAGAATAAATAAGATAGGGGGGAAAAGTATTAGTTAACACAAAGGAAAGCAAGAAAGTGGATAATAACTAGAGAGTTCAAATGGCTGGCTGTATATTTTGCTTGCAAGAGGATTTGATCCTCAGCACAGTATATACTGATCCCTGAGTACAAAGCCAGGAATATAGGCACTGCTAGGTGTAGCCCCACAACCAGACTGGGCCAGAGCGATAGTACAGTGGGTAGGACATTTGTCTTTCTTGGATTGACCTAAGTTCAATCCCCAGCACCCCATATGGTACCCCAAGCACTGTCAGGAGTGATCCTTGAGCACAGAGCCAGGAGTAAGCCTTGAGCAGTGCCAGGTATGGCCCCAAAACTAAAACAAGCAAACAAAAGTGAATTAGAAAACTATCAGTAATTTGTATTTTTAATTTGGGGCCACATCTGATGATTCTCAGGGGTTACTCCTGGCAATACTCAGGAAAGCTTATTGGATGCTTGTGATCAAACCTGGGTGCATGCAAGGAAAGCATCTTACTAACAGCTGTACTATTGTTTGGACACCTTATCAGTAAATTTTTGATATCTGGTATCATCAACTTCAAGCAATGTAAAATTGGGAAATCAGTCCCAACTCAGAAATTAACTAATGTGACTGACAGGACAATCTTGGCTATGATCTACTTTTAGATTGTTTTAACTTAGCTAATTAGGTTGAAGCCATAGTGTAGTTTATAGTTCTGCTGCATGCTGTGGAGTTTGTGTCTTTGGAGTTGCATTTTTCTGTAGCTGCATTTTCTTTTTCTATTTTGGGCAACACTTGGCAGTGCTCAGGACTTATTCCTGGCTCTGTACTCAGGAATTAGCCCTAGCAGGTCTTTGAGGATCATATAGGGTGCTGGAGATTGGACCCAGCTCAACCACCTGCAAGGCAAATGCCCTACCTGCTGTACAATCTTTTCCACTCTCTGCAGCTGCCTTTTGTTTGACAACTTAATTAACCTAACTCAGACGTTTTGATACTGGGTTGGAGATGCATGAACAAGTTGGTATCCTCCCTAAGGTGACCTTAAATTGTGCATATTGGCTGGGAGCTTCTGTGTTGGCATTGCATACTTGAAATCCACAAGCTGTGACTAATGCAAGGCTCAGGATCATGATTCTGCGACTGCTTGTGTGTCTCAAGTATGCATTGACCCTGCTCAGTAGATTGGGAAAAGTCCAACACCTTGTACATTATGCTCATGTATCAGGTGGATGCTTGTGAAGGAACAGAGGGAGAAAAAAGAAGTCGTGGCTTGCTGAGATCTGTAGCCTTGAAAGTATAGTGCAGCTAGGGGCCCACGGGTATGACAGGTAGATAGAGTGCTTGCTTTCATCCCCAGAATCACATATGATCCTTTAGCACTACCAGGAGTGATCCCTGAGCACAGAGCCAGAAGTAAGCCCTGAGCAGAGTCAAAAATTACACTAAAAAGTGGTAATCATTGGGGAAGTAATAACTACATTTGCCTTGCATGCAAACAGCCTAGTTTCAATCCCTTGCATTCCTTCTGGTACCCCCTAGCCACCAGGAGTGAATCCAGAGTGCAGAGTCAGGAGTAACTTCTGAGCACTGCCAGATGTGACCCCAAAATCCCCCAAATCATATCTTTTCACTTTTATAAAATAGTCTTCTTATAGCTTATAAAGGCCTACTTTGAATAAGGTATAATCTCTGACTAGAAGTATCCTAATACAGAATTCCCTCATATAAATTTCCTTTTGTGTCAAGTTTAAGCCAGTTAAAAACCGTTCAACACATATTACATTATTGTATTTACAACTAGTAAACTTCTCACAATTACAAAGTCATTTGTAGGGAGACTGAGCCATACAACAGCAGGTAAGGTGCTTGCCTTACGGGAAGCAAACCTGGGTTTAAACCCTGGCATCCCATATGATTCCCTAAGCCCATCCGGAGTGAGTCCTGAGTGCAGAGCTAGGAGTAACTCCTGAGTACTGCCAGGTATGGCCCAAAACAAACAAAAAAAATTGTAAAAATTGTTCAGTTGAATGACTGTAAGGACCTTTCTTGACAATAACAGAGCTATTAGTCCCCAAAGTCACTTATCACTTGTTAAAAAAGATCATGTTTATCAGTATCTATCATAGTAGAAAAAAACTAGTGAATATGGAACAGAAACACACAAGCACATAAATATTCACAGCTATATTTAACACAAAATTATAAAAAATACAAATATCCATACAAGAGGATAATAAAAATTTTTTTAAATGGAATATAGAATACAAAGATGAAAACACTATTGCCAGATGCAATAATGCTGTCACTGTCACTGTCCTCCTGTTGTTCATCAATTTGCTCAAGCGGGCCCAGTAATGTCTCCATCGTGAGACTTGTTACTATGTTTGGCATATCGAATACATCACGGGTAGCTTGCCAGGCTTTGCTGTGCGGGCGAGATACTCTCAGTAGCTTGCCGGCCTCTCCGAGAGGGGCGGAGGAATCGAACTCGGGTCGGCTATGTTGGCTGAATGCAAGGCAAACGCCATACCCACTGTGCTATCGCTCCAGCCCGCAATAATGTATGATTCTTGAATGTTTTGAATGTGAAATACAAAAGAATCATTGTGATAAAATATATATTAAGTTTAAAAACATGCAAAAACTAGTTCATAATGTTATAAATCAGGGAAGTGGTAATCACTGGGGAAGTAATAACTACTTTTTATTCTAGAGTGCAATAAGAAATGTTGTTCATAGTTTCTTTATGGATCCTTAAGATTACAACCGTGTTGTATTATGAATCTGCATGTATTATATGTTTCATAAAATAACAGTCAGGAGCACTTAAAAGTTATTAGCTTCATTGTTGCTTGAGTTCAGTAATAAAGATCATACCATTTTGTATGATATAGACAGCAGTTACTCCTATCAGTGACTAAAGATACCTTATTCACATGTTTAAGCATGCTTACTTCAATCTTAAGTTTCTTCATAAAAGTCACATCATTTATTGCATTTCTAAGCTTTCTCCCTTGTGAACTCTCTGATGGACAATGAGGTTTCTCTTATAACTGAAGGATTTACCACACTCATTACAAATATAAGGTTTCTCCCCTGTGTGTGTCCTCTGATGTACAATGAGATTTGTCTTCTGGCGGAAGCATTTCCCACATTCATTACATTTATAGGGTTTTTCTCCTGTATGAGTTCGTTGATGATGAATGAGATATGACTTCCTGCTAAAGGCTTTGCCACACTGAGGACATTCATAGGATTTCTGGCCTGTATGTATTTTCTGATGTACTGTAAGGGTTGCTTTCTGGCGAAAAGACTTTCCACATTCAGTACAAATATATGGTTTCTCCCCTGTATGAATTCTCTGGTGCAGATTGAGATTGGTTTTCTGACTGAAGGATTTCCCACACTCATTACATTCATATGGTTTCTCTCCTGTGTGAGTTCTGTGATGATCAATGAGGTATGACTTCATTCTAAAAGCCTTCCCACAGTGAGGGCATTCATATGATTTTTCCCCTGTATGTGTTCTCTGATGTGCTACAAGGGTTGTCTTTTGGCGGAAGGACTTGCCACATTCATTACAAATGTAAGGTTTCTCCTCATTATGAGTTTTTTCATGAAGAGCAAGGGTTGTCTTCTGTGAGAAGGATTTCCCACATTCATTACAAATGTAGGGTTTTTCCCCTGTATGAGTTCTTTGATGTACAGTAAGATTCGCCTTCTGGTGAAAGGACTTCCCACATTCTTTACAAATATAGGGCTTTTCTCCTGTATGAATTCTCTGGTGTAGAGAAAGTGTTGTTTTTTGGCGGAAGGACTTGCCACAGTCATTACATTCATAAGGTTTCTCTCCTGTATGAGTTCTTTGATGACGAATAAGGTGAGACTTCAATCTAAAGGCATTCCGACATTGTGGACATTCATAGGATTTTTCTCCTGTATGTGTTCTTTGATGATCAGTGAGGGCTGTCTTTAGGCGGAAGGACTTGCCACATTCATTACAAACAAATGGTTTCTCTCCTGTGTGTGTTCTTTGATGATCAATGAGATATGACTTCCTTCTAAATGCATTGCCACATTGGTGACATTGGTATGGTTTTTCTTCTGTGTGAATTCCTTGATGCAGAATCAATACAGACTTCCGGCAGAAAGATTTCCCACATTCAGTGCATATATGTTTTTTCTCAACACTGGTTGCTCTTCTCCTTTTATTAAATTCAGATGGGTTTCCCCGTCTGTAAATTCCTTTTTTAAGGAAGGATTTCTCATAGTCATTATATACAAGTGACTGTGCTGGAGTTTCCATCTTATGATATTGCAAAAGGAGTTCATTATGACTGAGAGCCCTGCCACACTGACTGTAGAATTTGACTCCTGGGTGAGCTATTTCTGAGTTAGTACTGAGAAGTGGTTGTCTGTAGCCATTATACTCAACAAGTCTCTTTCTAGTGGGACTAATATTACTGATAATTAATTCTGAAACATTTTTAAACATCTTTCTGTGAGTGTCATATTCAGGAGGAAGATTTTTGGAATGAACGGGGCTTTTCCCTGATGTCAGTGTCTTTTCAAATGCATTGCTATTCTCCTTAATCAGTGATTTGGGGTTGATGTATACAACTGAGTGGGAGTACTTATTGTAGTGTTCCTTGAATTTCACTAAAAAGTCTTCAGCTTTCCGGTTTTCTTCTACAAAAGAATATAACAAAAATTTATGAATCTTTACACATTTGTTATGAAAATAAAAATTATACTAGGGTCTAGCATTTAAAGCCAAAAAAAGATCCAGGTCAAATTATTTCCTGTATGGGAAAAGACAGAACCTAAAGAAAAACTTTTCCAGGGGCCAGAGCAATAGTACAGTGGGTTCAGAGTTTGCTGTGCACGCAGCCAACCCGGGTTTAGTCTCCAGCATTTCTTATGGTCCACCAAGCACTACCAGGGATGTTTCCTGAGTGCAGAGCCAGGAGTCAACCCTAAGCATCTCTGAATGTGGCCTAAAACAAAACAAAACTTTTCCAGTGTTATGAAGATGTAAAATAAGCAATGAATGTTAGTGCCTTTTGAAATTTGTACCAAGGGCATTAAGCTTTAACTAGGATAAACAAGAAAAATCAGTATTAAAGACTGTTCAGGAAAACAAAAGGATTACTTTTAGAGAGCACAAGCCTTGACTTTCATATACTCATCCCTAGAGTAAGAGGTAAAACACCCCCATTCCATGTACCCAGTGCCTAGCTAATCTATGCATCAGTTCATTTCCTATTAGAAAAATAAGAATAATACAACACTCTAGGTTCTAATTCTCTATATTGCTGGAAATTATTTTTCCTTGTGATGGAAAAACTGGTAAAACACTCCCAGCAGGATCTTTAAAGCTGACTAGGGTTATACTCAGTGTTATATTCAGATTGCTTTAATTGCCTTTCTCTTAGAATTATTCAATCAGAAATCTCTCTTGACCATCAGTTCTAACTACTACTCTTTTCAACTGACTTAAATGTTCCTGTTTAAAGAAAGCTTGAAGGCTAGATAAATAGTTCAAATGGCTAAGCACATATACCTAAGGCCCAGATTCAATCCCCACACATGGTCCACTTACCAGGAGTGAGCCCTCAGCACTGCCCATGAGACCTTCAAGCACTGAGCCAGGAGTAGCCTCCAATTACTGGCAGAGCGGCACACAAAGCAAGCGAACAAAATAATACAGAATGGTTCAATTTGTTACCCAAAACAGTAACATTCCTAACACCAGTGTTTTGTATGATAGATCATTAAGATCAGATTTTTGGCTTTTGGTTTTGGGCAGCAATGTTCAGGGATCACTTCTTGTTGGGTGTGGGGGACCATATAGGGTGCTGAGGATTGAACCTGGGTAGTTATCCACATGCTTGGCAAGAGCAACTGCCCACTGTACTGTCTCTTCACATGGTACCCTGGTGTGTGGCCCCAAAAGAAAAGAAAGGAAACAGAAAGCAATTAGGAGAACACTAATTAGAGCAGGAGAGATAGTACAGCAGGAAAAGCACTATCTTACATGACACTGACTCAGATTTTGATTCTTGAACCCTGCCTGAGGAGACACCTGAACAAACATAGAAGTAAACCCTGAGCACTGCCATATGAGGCCCAAAGCCCACAGAGAGAGACAGAAAGACAGAGACAGAGAAAGAGAGAGAGACAGACAGGAGGAGAGGAAGAAGGAGAAGGAGAACAATAACAACAAAAATAACAACACTAACCAGTAATTTTCTCTTTTTGAGACAACAGATTTGAGAATCCTGAAATAATTCTATCTATGGCAAGGAGCTAAGGAATGCTACAAAAACACACATATCGAGAAAATAAAGCAAGAAAATATCATCTAGGGAGAGTGATATTTGATAATTTAAGTTTGGTAGACACAACAGTCACTTCAAAAGTTAGAAGACTTTAAAATAAGACATTCCCAAAATGTTTTGTAAGTCTCACCCACCATGTGACCACTTTAAAATTAATTTCTCATTAGATTTCCCATTAGATTTCCCAACCTCAGGATCGGGGATGTGACTTGGTGGAAGAGCACTTACCTAGATTTTATCCACCCAAGAATCAAAAACTCACCTAAGCATGTATGACCTGCAAATGATGCCCATGGTTCCTCTCCTCTTTCCAATTTGAGGATTACATCAGGCTTGGTCATGTGACACCCTGTTAAGGAAAGATTTGGATTAAGTTGTGAGTTCCAATAAATTGGAAAATTTAACAAGGTGTATATTCAGTACTATAAATAAAGACAATTCTCTGTGTGACAATAAAATTTAGTACCATGTATTACACAAGTAAGGACAAAATCATCTCTTATTATTCATAAATAATGATCCCTTATCCCAAAATTCAAGATCATATTCTTTACACATTTTGAAAGGAGATGCATCCTATGAAATGTTTCAAATGGAGTTTTTTTTTTTAAAAAAAACCAAAAAACAAAATTTCCCCTATATTTTTTGAGGTGCTGGGAACTCAATGCTGTCATCTATACTTCTATGCATATACTGTTCCAGTACACCATCACCAGAGAGTGCTTCCCTCCTGCAGTATCCCACAGCATCCTCCTACCCATCCATTCCCCCTCTGTAAGTTCAGTTTTAAGGACAAAATTAACCATTGTGATGACTTTGACTATTTATCGTTCCTTTACTATTTTTTTAAATATACCACATATAAGAACAACTGTTTTTATTTATTTATTTATTTTTTGCTTTTTGGATCACACCTGTCAATGCACAGGGGTTACTCCTGGCTCTGCACTCAGGAGTTACTGCTGGCGATGCTCAGGGGACCAAATGGGATGCTGGGAATCGAACTCGGGTCGGCTGCGTGCAAGGCAAAAACCCAACCTGCAGTGCTATCTCTCCGGCCCCACAACTGTTTTTATTTTAGTTTGGTTTGGGGGCCACACACAGTGGTGCTCACCGCTTACTCCTGGCTCTGCACACAATACTCCTGGTGGAACTAAGGGACCATATGGGGGGCTAGGTATCAAACCCAGGTTCTCAACATGCAAAAAAGTGCCCTATCTACTATACTCTGGCCCTGGAACAATTGTTTAAAAAATTTATTGCAGAAGTGGTGCCACCTACACATCCATATAGATGAGTAAAGCTAAACTCTCAAATTCCAATAAAATTGTAAATAAATGATAATCTGATTTTTAAAAAAATAGGGAGGGGATGCTGGAGAGAGCACAGAACCCCATGTGGTTTCCTGGGCTCTACCAGTGGTGATCCCTAAGTACAGAACCAAGAACAAGCCCCGAACACCACTGGCTGTTGCCCAAAATCAAGCAAATATTTCAGAAATGGTATCTTTTTCTTTTTGTAAGTATATACATTTTTCAAAAAGTTATAGTATGAGTAATTCTATTTTAAAATTAATAAACATTTAAATAAATCCTGCAAATACACAATTTAGAGTAGCACTGTAGCACTGTCCTCCAGTTGTTCATCGATTTGCTCGAGCAGGCCCAGTAACGTCTCCATCGTGAGACTTGTTGTTACTGTGTTTGGCATATTGAACACATCACAGGTAGCTTGCCAGGCTTTGCTGTGCGGGTGAGATACTCTCAGTAGCTTGCTGGGCTCTCCGAGAGAGGCAGAGGAATCAAACTCAGGTTGGCCTAGTCGGCCCGCATGCAAGGCAAGCGCCCTACCCACTGTGCTATCACTCCAGCCAAAATGATGTAACCACTAAGAAATAATTATTATATGATTATTATATATTTATATTCATATTTAAATTATGACCTAGAATCCAATTGAATTAGGAAAAATAAAAACTTAATATTCACATGAAAGCAGAAACTTTTAGCAACTATATTAACTGCCCAAACTGCCAGCATGTTACCTGCTATTTTATTTGTAAATGATGGCTCATTTATCGATCCATGTAGTGGAATACTACTCAACAATAAAAAGGAATACATTATTACTTAGTGCAAAAGCTTGAATACAACCCAAGGCATTAGTTTCAATGAAAGAAGCCAGTCTCAGAATTTTTGATTTCTGCTAAATATTGTTCTCAAAAAGCCAGTTTTAGTAATATAAAAATGATCAGTGGTTACCAGTAATTAGGACTGGGATGGAGGAATGTGACTCTAAAGAGATCATGACAAGAAAGACAGAATGAGTGACAGAACTCTTCTCTGTATTTATCATGAAGTTGGCTATAGGAATCTATACACAAGTTAATACTTTTTGTGCACACATGCAAAAAAGGTCAATTTCACTCTAAAGGGAAAAAAATAACCATGGTTACTAAAACCTGAAGCCATAGTTAGAGTGAGGAGAATTAAAATTAAAAATATGAATAGGCCTTTAATAGTATAAAAGTGTATTTTATCCTGAAAAGGGAATGTTGATTTTGTTAGAAAATACTCTATTATAAATAATGCTTAAATTACCTGCACATTAAGTAAAAAATTGTAATAAAAACCCAGGTTTTTCTTACCCACAGAAACAAGGTGGCAGTAGTTTTCCAACATCACATCCATATACAGAGTCTTCTGAGCAGGATCCAGGCGCTGCCACTCCTCCCGACTAAAGTCCACAGTGACATCTTTAAATGACACAGACGCCTGCAAGATATTGGAATCCTGGTCAGAACATCTTAAATAGATATTGGGCAGGAGTTCTGATCCTGTTCTTCTGTGGCATTCACACTAGAATGCGTGAAGAAAGCTATGGGCAGAAGAGATAGTCCAGGGGTAAGGTGCTTGCTTTGCAAAGGGCCAATCACCAGCCCCATAACAAAAACAAAAACAAAACGTTGTGACTTACATACTTTATAGAAAAGCAGGGCTTCAAATATAATGTGTCTAGGGCCAGAGTGATAGCACAGCAGTAAGGCTCTTGCCTTGCATGCAGCTGACTCAGGTTCGATCCCCAGTACGCCAGGTGATCCCTGAGCACTGCTGGGTATGGCCAAAATAAATAAATAAGAAAAGTTCAAATATATTCTGTCTTATAAGACATATATTAGGTTTTTTTGTTTCCTTTTTTGTTTGTGGGTCCAAACCCAGTGGTGCTCAGGACTTATTCCTGGCTCTGCACTCAGGGATTTCTCCTGGCGGTTTCAGGATCCAGGAGGATCGAACTTAGATTGGCCACATGCAAAACAAATGCCCTCCTGGCTGTCCTATCACTCTGGCCCCAACAGACATATTTTAAACACTAGATACACAAATGGGCAGAAAGTAAAAAAGATGAAAAAAGATGACTGGCTAAATTGGTGCCTCTAATGTGGGAGACCCTAGATTTGAGCCCTGGCACTGCAAAAAAAAAAAAAAATTAGAGGTGTAAGTAAAGCTGTATAAACACTAATCTCAGGTAGTTCATGTGGCTCATTGTTTTGGGGCCACATCTAGCAATGCCCAGGGCTTACTCCTGGCTCTACACTCAGAAATTACTTTTGGCGGTGGTCAGGGGACAATATGGGATGTCAAGGATCGAACCTAGGTGGGCTGCATGCAAGGCAAGCACTCTACCCACTGTACTATCTCTCCAACTTCGCCGTGAGCATTTTTAATTTTGCTAATTCATTATTTAATTCATGGGTGTTTGTTCAGATCCATTCTCAACTTTATTGCACTGGCTTGTTCTGCTGCCTTTTGAGCCTCGCCCAACGATTCTCAGGTATTCCTGGCTCTGCACTCAGGAATTACTGCTAGCAGTGCTTGAAGGACCATATGGGAGACCAGGGATCAAACCAGGGTCCGCCATGTGCAAGACAAGCACCCTACTCGCTCTACTATGGCTCTGGCCCCTGCATTGGTTTTTTTTAACTCTGTGTTGATTTATTTAGTTGTCCTAATATTGCTTCAGAAAGAAAGCTGAGAAAGAAGATACTGAATAATGTATGTCCACTAATTGTGTCAAGATGGGTTAAAATTTGAATGTACACTTGGGAAAGGTGAAGGCTTATCCTGTCAACCAGAAGACTGGCTGGATGATTCAGTACAAGAAAGTAAATCATCAATTATCCTTGCAGAAAAATAAAAACCTTCAGCAAGGAGATCGGAGCCATCACCCAGCCTACCTGAGCCATGGTTCTGAGACTGGCAAACGATGATCGGTCTTTCTTCTGGTTCCTCTTTCAATAATGGGCAGTTCCTGGGAAGGCAAAGCCAAGATGGAGCACCATGCCACACATGCCTTACAGTTTCTTGATGACTAAAGAATTTAGGTAGCCTCAGTTTCCCTTATTTTTGCAAACCATCCACTATGCATAATCCACATAAATACAGCAGGGAGGAAGCTAGACCAATCTGTCACAGTCACAGTCACGGTCCTCCCATTGTTCATCGATTTTGCTCCAGCGGGCCCAGTAATGTCTCTATTTTGAGACTTGTTGTTACTGTGTTTGGCATAGAATATGTGACAGGTAGCTTGCCAGGCTCTGCCGTGCGGGCGAGATACTCTCGGTAGCTTGCCGGGAGGAATCGGTGTAATCCCTAAAGCAAGAGACACAGCTCTTGGGGGAACAGCCTCCCTCCTTGTCTGCACCATCTCTCTTTTTTTTCTCTTCTAAGCAGCTTATAATTAACTGCTTCCAAGCCATCTCTTTTACTGTTATACTGTAACATATATTTACTGTTTACAGCAACAAGTAAATTCCAGCCATCCTATTCCTGATGAATATGACTGACAACAAAGTTTCTTTTGTTTTGGTCCACACCAGGAAGTGCTCAAGGATTACTCCTGGCAGGACTTGGGGGACCATATGAGATGCCAGGAGTCAAATGTGAGTCAATGGCATGCAAGGCAAGTGCCCTACTGGCTGTACTATTGCTCCGATCTGCGACACCTGAACTTCTTAGGGGTGTGGGGGGAATCAGTAGTGCTAGGAGGCCTGAAGGCCTCAGGACACAATGCTTTCAGGCTCTGTGATGGTGTTGTGCAGCCACTTCTCATGGTGCTAGGAGTTTGGGGAAAGGCACACATATTCAGGGACTCTTTAGTGCTGGATATTGAACTTAGGTCCACTGCATATACAAAATATGTGCCTTGGGGCTGGATCGACAGCAAAGCTGGTAGGGCTCTTGCTCAGCACACAACTGACTGGCTCTGATCCCTGGCATCCAGATATGGTCTCACTGTACCACCAGGAGTAATCCCTGAGCATAGCACAGAGTGGCCTAAAAACTGTCTGTCTGCACTGTCCTCCCGTTGTTCATCGATTTGGTCGAGCGGGCCCAGTAATGTCTCCATTGTGAGACTTGTTGTTACTGTGTTTGGCATATTGAATATGTCACAGGGAGCTTGCCAGGGTTTGACATGCGAGCGAGATACTCTTGGTAGCTTGCTGGGCTCTGTGAGAAGGGCGGAGGAATCGAACCTGGGTGGGCTGGGTTGGCCACAGGCAAGGCAAACAAAAAGGACATCTGTAGGCTAAATTGTAGTTTAAACTTCTTTTGATACTTTGATAGCTCAGCTGGTAGAGGGAGGACTGTAGACTGTCAGATCTTTTGATACATTAAAAAATTTTTTAGGGTTAGGTCATGTTTTGCATATGGGAGGCCTGGATTCAATCCCTGGCACCATATTGGTTCCCTGAGTATTTCTGGGAGTAGACTCTGAGCACGGATGGTTGTTGTCCCAAAACAAATAAAACAAAATACTCTTTAGTTTCTCTGGGGCAAATGGGAAGAGTACCACTCCCAACAGTGCTTGAGGCTGCCGCGGGATTGCAGGGGTTGCTCTGGGGCAGTGTTCAGGGGCCATGTGGCACAGGGATGGAACCAAGACACACTATGCCAGACATAGGCCTTAACCCTTTGAACTATCTCCTTGACCCCAGCACTAGCTTCTTACCTGTGAAAGATCTCTAACATTTCATATTCATTCTTCGGTTAGGCTAGTTTTGATAGGAGCTCTTGTTTAAAGAAAGAAAACTGCCAGAGAGTACAGGGGTCAAGGCACTGGTCTTGCATGCAAGTGACCTCTAACTATAGAGCAGGGTGTTGCCCAACAGTATTCCTCCTCAAAAGTGATGTATAATTACATGATTTAAGGTGCTCAACTTGAATGCTGCAGGTCCCCAAGCACAGCCAGGAGTGACCCCTGAGCACAGTCAGTTGTGGCTCAAAACAAAATGTGTAGTAAACATAACTGCCACAGAATCCTGCTACAGGCATGTAAAATGGCCAATGTCAGATCATGCATAACTACTCATACAACCAGTTTTTCAAGCACTCCATGGCACATAATGAAACACATTCAGTCCCGATGGACTCTGAAAACAAAACTTAAAGGTTCAGTTCTATCCAATCCCGCCCCACAATTACAGAGGCACACGTGTCAAGCCTGATCTCACCGACCTCACCCGTCTCACACACTTGCACAGAAAGTAGCAAAACGTTACTTACACCCTCCTTGCTGCCGCCTCTACAAAGTCGCAAAGTCTCAAACACAAATCGTTCCGTACCGGGTTTAAAAATCGAGACACGCAAAAACCCTGTGGCGTTCCCAAACAAACCATCGGCTGCACGGAGTCCAAGTCCGAACACACAAAAAAAGGTTTTTAACGCTTCACAAAATCAGCATGTGCGTGTGTGCATGACAGGCCGTGCTCCCAGCGCGGGGCTTTCCTCTTGGGGTAGCGGACCAAAATCCCGCCGCGGTGATCCTGTCCCGGGTTCCCGATTCCTTCGGGGTCGCTCCCGGCCTTGGATTCTCCAAATCCCTTTTTCCAACTCGCCGGCCCAGGCTCCTCGGTAGTCACTCTCCAGCTCGTTTTCTCGCAGGGCCTGGGCTCTCTCTTTCCTCCGCGGCCCTCTCGGCCCGGGTTCCCTCTTTCCTCCCCGCTCTGCCCATTTCAGGTTCCCGCCTCCCAGCTCAGCCTCCCGGCACCGGCCGAGCCACCAGCCGCCTTCCCCGCGCCAGCGGGACCCACCCGCCTCACCTCCAGTCAGTGGCTCGCCGCCCGCGCCTGCGCGCTGCCGCCGGACCGCCCAAGAGTCCCGGCGGCTCCGACTCGGCGCCGGCATCCGCGCGCACGCACGCGCGCTCGCGCCTTCCCCCCGTTCGGCCCTTCCGGCCGGGAACTACATTTCCCACCGGCCCCTTCCGGACCTCTTCCGGGTCGACAAACGGTCGGTCTCGGCGGTTTGCCCAGTCGTCTTGCTCGAGTCTAAAGGCGAGTCTGGCACTTGTCGAGACCCCACGGCGCGTGGATGCCGGAGCTTTGGCCCCGTGTCTGAGGGTGTCAGTGTGTGAGCGCTGCTGTGAGGGGCGCAGTGCGCGGGCCTATGACCCGCTTCTGTTCATGACTGATTGCTGGTTCTGTGGGGAACCGTGGCTGTGAGTGAGTTGTTAGCTCGGGTTTCACTGGCGGGGAGAAAGAGGCGTTTAAGTTTGAGCCCGAAGAGGAGTTGGGTGGTGCCGAATCCCCATCGCTGCGGCTCTGAGTTTAGGACTGGGGCAGAGCGCGCCGAGAGGTCGTCAGGACCCTGAGGGACCAGGAGTCCGCCGTGCAGAGCCCCCAGCTCCAGGGCCCAGCCTCCATGCTTCAATGGGTAACAGTGGTGTGACGGTGGTCTCCCTGGAGTGCCGTCCCATTTTCAGGACCGGCGTCCCCGCGATCACTGCTGTGACCCCACTTCTGCATGGTAGCCACTGCATCTGGAGAAATGCCAGCCCCAAAGGGTGTCCAAAGGAGGCTGCAAGCAAGCGTCGTTAGAGGTGGAATCGTCCTTAACGGACATAGACTCAGGGAAGGATTCCTGCCTCAGGATCTCCACTAGGAGAAATTCTTGGTTTCAGGAAAGGGGATGTGACTCCCCTCCCTTGTATGTGTGAGGTTCGATCCCTAACAATGCACACAAACGATTTATGTGTCTTGGTTCTTGGCAACACACATCTATATTTTTGGCGGGATGGGGGGGCGGGGGTCACACGCAGATTTTCTCAGGGATTGCGTAGGGGACCATATGAGGTGCAGGGGATTGAACCTGGGTCGGCTGTGTGTGAGGCAAGCACCCTACCTGCTGTTCTGTTGTTCCTGCCCCCCCACACAGTTTCTGTGGCTTGATCCTTGCCAGTCCACATGCCCTCCGAATTTTAGAAATAATTCCAAAGCTGTCTCCAAGAAACCTGTTGACTTGGAGACAGTTGTAGCCCAGGGTGTCAGTGAGACAGTTGTAGCCCAGCCTTTCCCTGGGATCCTAAGGGACCATAGTCCTTCTGTTTCTATTCTATATATATGTGTGTGTTGAAGAGTCTCTTCCTGTTTCTTTGGTCTGTACTCCCAAGAAAGGGTCCGTGTCTCCTGCTCCTGCTCCTTGCCCTGCTTTCCCCCTTCAGTGCAGTTGCAGAACCTTCTCTTTTTCTGAAACTCAAAAGTTTTATTTATGTTTGGGTTGTATGGGAGTTATTCAATATATAGACTAGGAATCGCACCCAGACGCGGACTTTATTGCCTCTAAAGTCCAGAGGACCACTGAGCTTGTGCTTTTTTCTTTTTTTTTTTCTGTTGAGAGGAGTGTCGGGAAGATGTAACAATTTCTCTCCATTCTCCACAATATTAGCTACCTACATATTTCCCTGGGGCATAAGGGCCCTTGCATATTTGTATTAATTTCCTTCCCTCTGACACATATTTGAGCAGTAAGTCTAGTGCAGTGGTTTTAACCTCTGGTTCACAGATCAGTGCCAGACTACACATGTAAAAAGGTTGAAAATCACTGTTCTCTCACCTTGGTTGTAACTGCTGGCCCTTGGACCATGACAGGTGCAGGTCTTCCTCAGGTATGAATAAATAGGTTGAAATGGGGCTGGAGAGGCAGGTTGTGCATTTACCTTGCATGCATCCAACCTGGGTTTGATGCGGACATCCCATATGGCCCCTCAAACACCACCAGAAGTAATTCCTGCATGCATAAAGGTAAAGGTAAAAGGTAAAGGCCCTCCCGTTGATTGTCGATTTGCTCGAGCGGGCCCAGTAACGTCTCCATTGGAGACTTTGTTGTTACTGTGTTTGGCATATCGAGTACTCTCGGTAACTTGCCGGGCTCTCTGAGGGGGGCGGAGGAATCGAACTCGGGTCGGGCATGTTGGCCGCTTGTAAGGCGAACGCCCTACTGCTGTGCTATCGCTCCAGCCCCTCCTGCATGTATAGCTAGGAGTAACCCCTGAGTATCACCAGATGTTGCCCCCAAACCAAACTAAATTACATGTGTTGGGTGTCAGGGCGATAGCACAGCTAATAGGACTTTTTCCTTGCGTGTGACAAACCTGGGTTCAATCCTCCACACCATATATGGTTCCCTAGGTCTGCCAGGAATGATTACTGAGTGCAGAGCCAGGAGTAAGCACAACCAAATAAGCCAAAAAAGAAAAATTATATGTGGGGTCAGAGAGATAGTATAGGAGGTAAGGCATGTGGTCACTTTGGCCAACCTTGGTTCAACCATCCCCAGTACCACATACAGTTCTCTGAGTACTGCTAGTGATAACTCCTGAGCACCTGGGAACACCCTCCCTGCCCAACTCATGTGCTACACCAGAAAGATATCCAGTACCACATAATTGCCTGAGCATTTCCAGAGTAGCCCAAAACCAAAAATACTACATTATAAAAGAGGAAAAATCAGGGCTGGAGAGATAGTATGTCTTGCCGTACATGAGACTGACTTGGGTTTGGTCTCACATATGGTTGTCCAAGCTTCCAGAAATTCTTCCTGAATGCAGAGCCAGGAGTAAGCACTGAGCACAGACAGGTAGGGCCCAAAGCACCCTTGCCCCCCAAAAGAAAAAAATGGGAAATTATGACAAGTTGGTTATTTTTAAAAATCAGTGTGAGGGTCAGGGAGAGAGTACAGTGTGTTTGCCTTGTACTAAGTGAGTCTGGCACATTGAGCCCTCCAGGAATGGTCCTTGAGTGCAGAGCCAGGAAATAGCCCTGAGCAGTCAAGTGTGACCTAAAAGCAAAACATCATTATGATAAATAACCCTCAGATTGGTAAAGAAATGGACCAAACACAAGCATAAAATGAAAAGGGGAAAGTACTTGAAAGAAGGATCAAAATAATCTTTAGAGAGCTGAAGATGTATTTCAGGGGTAGATCACATGTATGTGGCCCTGGGTTCAATGCCTGATGTCTCAAAAATGAATTTTAGGAGCCAGAGAGCTAGGAGAGTGATTAAGATGGTTGTCTTGCATATGGCCAGCCAAAGTTCTATTCTTTACAACACACATGCAAGGCAAGTCCCCTTCGTGCTCTCCCAAGTCCTCTCCAGCTCCAGTTGTCTTATGTATTTAGAGATAGAAAAGAAAGACAGTCCAATAGATTCCCTGCCTGTTCCCACAATTATTGGGTTGATTAAACAGAAATAGCCATAGATAACTTTAGATATGACAGAAGAATATGCTGAATTGTTGTTCCTTGTCCTCCGACCATCCTGTCAAATAGTCAGCATTTATTGACTTTTATCCTCACATAAGGCAGCACTCTCACATTATTTTTTTCCCCTTCAGTTTTGTGCCACATCTGGCTGTGCTTAGGGATCACTCCTGGCAGGTTCAGGGGACCATATGTGGTGCTGGGGAATGGACCCAGGTTGGCTGTGTGCAAAGCAGGTACCGTACCCACTGTAGTATTGATTCTTTTTATTGAAGTCCATGCTCTTCTTCTTGGTTTTTAGATTGCTTTTTAAGAGTTCAACTTGGAAATAACATGTCTTCGAACTAGTGCTCATGTGGTGTTTGACTCACAGTGAAAAATTTAGCTTTCTTCAATGGGGAAGTGTTTATACAAGCTTTTTATTACTATTTATGTGAAATTTCTTTTAGCTACCTCTCTTTTCTACCGTATTTTATTTACTTGGTTACAAAATGAAATCCCAGCAGTTAAAATGTGTTTTTTATATTTCATACTTGATCTAGGTGTGAGCCCAAGAATGTATTTCCAAGAGGAGACATTTATGAGAAAGTAATCCTAGTGGGCCATTACAGAACATTTTGAAAATCATAATTCTGATAATTTTAATAGATATTTGGAGCTACAAAAATCAATTTGAGAGACATCAGGGGAAAGAGGAAGATTGTTTAGGGCAAATTATCATCAACCATGAACAAGTATCCATTCTCCACCCACAAACTTTACTGACTCAGGAATTTTATAGTACAGAAAAAAATCTTTGAATGTTAAGTATGTAGAAAAACTTCAGTTATCATTTATTCTTTAGCCATCAAAAACTCATTCTTAAGGAAACTTTCTGGAAATAAGAAATTTGAAGAAACTGTTAATTCTTCTTATCGTACTAAACAACACTGTCACTGTCACTGTCCTCCCGTTGTTCATCGATTTTGCTTGAGCGGGCCCGTAACATCTCCATTGTGACACTAGTTACTGTGTTTGGCATACCCAAGATGTCACGGGGAACTTGCAAGGCTTTGCTGTGTGGGCGAGATACTCTCAGTAGCTTGCTGGGTTCTCTGAGAGGGGCAGAGAAATCGAACCTGGGTGGGCCAGGTCGGCTGCATGCAAGGCAAATGCCCTACCCACTGTACTATCACTTCAGCCCACTAAACAACAAATAATTGTAAATAGTAACAAGTGTACCGAATATGAGAAATGTTGGAAGGCCTTTACTGCTCACAACTTTA